CGTCATGATGCCGTGGTTGTCGAGATGACCGTGTATAGATCACGTCACCTGGAGTGTGTACATACGAGGACGGGGCTAAGGTATACTGTTCGTGATGGACAGTAGGATGTATAGAAAAAGATATGCAATATACTGTACACACGATCTCAGGCCTGAATAATACGTGTCAATTTCTCTTGTGTCGCATAGAAAGTAGACTGGGTAATGATTGACCAAGTATCAACGAGGAGCGTTTAGTTGCAGCTGAGATGGCACAGAGCCAGTCAGTAATAATGAAAGACCGATACCATACATAATGTAAGTACACCATACGCATAATAGGATGTAATTCACCTGGTAGATTGAATAATTGTGCTCCATAGGTAACAATACTAATAATCGTCAAGTCCCAATTGCAGGCCGAACATCAGGAAATGATCGGAAGGTCGATCGATTCTGGTGTCCAGCGGCCACAACCAGTCAGAAGCCGTGAAAGGCCAGTCAGGGCCAAGCAGGCCATTCAGATTCCTTCAGAGCCAGTCAGGACCCGGTCAGCGTGCGTTAGAGTCTTAGAGGGGGGCGAGAGTGGCCACTGGAAGGCTCCACCGACGCGTGTCCCTTCTGGGTCCCCCCTGCACCCGTTTGACTGGTACCTTTTCTGCACATCTCGACTGTGCACAAACTACGCAACACACCTTCAGCCGCCGCCACCACAACTCCCACGATAGATCTAGGTTTCCTTCGGGGACGATAGACTCCTCCATTTTGATATTCATATACCTCTCTTCTCGCTTGGTGACACAACAGATCCTGAAAAGCTTATCGGCAGATCGTTCCTTCGCGCAAGTGGCGACCAGGCCTCAACTCCATCTTCGCCAGCAAGTGGGCCGGGATCGACAAACCAAAACTTTCGCCCTGGGCTCCGACCGTAAGGAAAATATCCTGCTGGTCGGTTGGAGATTCTTGTCATTTGGTGGGAGCAGATTCTTCCCTTGAATCGGCTGGCCCATGGTTATGGTGGATGAGACAGCTGCGTCATGGGCTTCGTCGTGCTTGTTCTATATATATTAAGCTCATATCACCACCTGGTCCATCTAAATCCTTTCAATCGTCATAACCAGCCGTTGGGGGGGGTTTCACACACAGTGGCCTGGGCCGCTGGGGCTGTTGTGGGGGGGCCTGTCTCCTCCCGCGGTACCTTTAATGAGGGACTGTTCCAAATACAGAAGTAATAATTCACAGGTTACAGTACGCAGGACGCTGCTCTCTTATCAGGCAGAAAAAGAATTACCTAGCGCTAACAATGATGGAACGCGGGTCGAAGCGAGGCCAACTGCTGTGGCAGTTCAAAGTCTTAAATCCAACGAGCGACGAGAAGCTTGAGCCAGATGGATACGCTTCACCCTGCACTCTTTGAAAGATCTGTCCGAATAATGTCTTTCAAATCGTCTCCTCAGAGATCTTGGGAAATCTCTCTCGGGTTGTCTTTTCAATCATGAATGACGAGATCATTCTGAAGTTCGGTTGGAGGAATCAAACTTCTAATGCGCCGCTGTAGACGATTCTGACCTTAACAGACTCCCAAACAGCTACTGGTATCGTCTCTTTGAGATCGTAACTATATAGTTACTCTACCTTGATTACTCTGTAGTCTCGATAGTTACAGAGATCAAGATCCAGTCATCACTGCCTCGAGTATCTCTTCAAAGTATACTTCATAGTCATACATGCTATCCTCCCAGCCTTAGCATCAGCATCAGCATCTGGAAGGCGGATAGAACAAAACACGCGATTCCCACCATCCGTGCACGACTGCACTCAGCCGTAGCCTACGCTAAAGGCCAAGGCTCGCCTTGGCATACGCTGTCACTGGTTTCACAGCGCCCAAAGAAGACGAAAAAACCCTAAACCAGAAGCAAATCATCAAAAAGGGGGCGGCGCAGGCGCGGTAATTTTACAGACCCTGAAAACAAGCGTGTCAGGTTCATGAAGAGTGGAGCCCGGGCCCCTGATCGCCAATCGAGGGCCTCCCCTTGCCCGTGCTGGTGAGAGCGCTCGGAGCCTCCTTTCTACTTTGACTGTGGTGGAAAGGGCTGAATTTCATGTACTCATTGGATAGACTGGGACACGATCAAGGTTGTGCTATCAGGATGGAGGGGAACTGAGAAAGAGTGTATCGATGGGATGACTGGGTAGCGAGCAGGGGCATCACGCTTGACGGTAAAAAAGGGGCTTGACAATGACCAAGTTACTGTAGGTAACTTTGTGTCAAGAGATGTGGACCCGCAAGTAATGATGCAATCTAGCGCCTCTATCGCCATTATTATCCCAATCTCGATTGAAATTGGTCTGGCCCTTTCCTATCGTGAGCCATCTACATGACCTTACTATACTTCTAATGTCCTGATTGATAGTCATGAAGAAGTGAAAGTTAGTCTGCGAACAAGTTTGGAACGCCTTGCCATATTCTCCTTAGCTGCTACGCCGCTTCGAAGACTCGTGAGCTATATGTTTGTGTGATATCCAATCGCCTCGCAGCTGATTGGTTCTTTTTAGCTGGACATACGGAGTACAGGAGAAGGATTTCGTCTCAAGATCCCAGGGTTGAGGACGGGGCGGGATGCCAAGGTTCCGCCCGCATGCCGTGGTCCGCATGCTGTCATGCATGGGGTCCTCTCTTGGATGGGGTAGCCCGTGCCTCTGTTTGTATAGACGCTGGTATCTATATCGACTACTGTATGTAAGCGAGGTTGGATGTAACTGCGGGATGTGTGCTTCGTCTATATCCCTGATGGATTGATCATCGATAGAGAGCAGCCCTAATAACAGTCGATCTGGACCATCAGTCATGGTCTTGTGGTAAGGATTTAAACGGTGCACGCAAGACTGCTGATCACAGATTCAAAAAGGGTTGCCAGACCTTTTGATATAGTGTGACTTGCTATCCTCGCCCGTTAGCTGATTGGTCTATGCATTCCGTTGTCGTCGCAGATTAACGGGATTTACAGTCCTATTTCTTCTCAGGATCTAGCTGCATATATGAGGTCAAGGGTTGGATATCAATGAAGAGATCTACAGACATGAAACAGGCAAGCAGTGACCCGATCCAATAATTGCTAAAACGGACGCGCCTTCTTGGTGAACACGATACATTATTGATCTTGCCCAGTCTCAATCAGGGACATCCGAAGAAAAAGGTATGTGCAATACCATTCTATAAAGTTTGGAACCCCAAGCAAACTTCAAAATCATGTCATCAGCCACACTTTGATAGGGAATCGAGCGATGCTACCTGAGGGATATAGAAGGAGGATTCGCAAGACATGGGAAGGATTTTTGGACTGATCAGAAGTTGAAGTCCATCCAGCTAGACATTCTCTCTGATCTTTTGACCAGGACTGTTGAACTACCTCAGTAGTTTCAGTCCTGTAGTTCCGCATCATCTTTAGGGAATAGGTACTTCAATGAAGAAAGGTCTATAGGATAATCAAACCGACGCCCAAGGTTTCAGGCGTCGCACGAGGATCGCCAACTGACATATCCAATGATTTTCAATAAGTCCGGGGTATCACACGGTCGGCGACGGGGATCGGCCTTTCAATCCTGGCCAAGGGTGCAGTCGGACGGAGATGAAGCTTTCCCGTGGGTGTCACCGTCTCTGCTTCGCCGTGCATAGGTTGGGTGGAGAGGGGGAATTACAGGGTCATCTCCATGGCATTTGCTATGTTGAGTCATTTTCAAGATTTCAACAGGAAATCGGTGAGGCTTTTAAGTGTCGTTGAAGGATTCGTATCCAATTCAACAGATACTGGCCAGTTGTCTTGTCCAGCCCTATCTGGCTGTCTGGCCATCTCCTTGATAGATAGAGGGTATCTGTACAGGATACCCTCAATTCAGTACAGGGGTCGTCTCTATGTCGCTGTAACATAAAGCAGTAACGTGCTTATTCTGCAGGGGCTGTATCAGATCATGTGTTCGACTAGGTGGCTTGATGGTTTTGGTAGTATTAGGGGACAGGGCTGATCAACTGGCTTGATTATTGCCTCATCCCATCCATCACGATTCACTGATTCTTTAGACAGTAGTTACATTATAGGGATTATTAAAATGACTTGCAGAAATCAGGCAGGGGGGAGTTATTATAGGCAGAGAGTCATTTTAATAATCCCCTACATGAACTATTTGCCTCTTTCCGCTATAATAATAATGCATTATAAAATATTCAGCCTTACAAAAAGACTGTCATCATCCAAAATGCGCACTTTCCTACCCAAGCCCCTCACTCGGACACCGCCGACGACCCTCCAATGGCGTCCATCATCTCTTCAAACTTTGCATTTATGCATGGACGGGATGAAAACAACCGATCGCAGCAAATCACCATCATCGGTCACTCGTCCCCTCCGATGCATCGAAATCGAGGTGATTCCGGGCACAGTCAGCGCCGAGCATTGGCAAGTGCCTTTTCCCATCTCAGCTGGCATGTCGAGGAAAGGAAGCATGGGAAATTAATACAAAGACCAAATCAGTTTCACCAGTCGTGTCATATCTGTGGAGAAAGGACCCAAAAGAAGTAAACAAGAATCATAGAGTATTTGGTAGCTTGTAACTGCTGCAAACCAAATCATCATGCTCATCCACTCTCCGTTCCTCGATCCGCTCGGTGGATTGTCTCCTCAATTTACAGAAACTCTGTGCTTATGCCCACTTCTGCACGAGCATCACGCTTGAGCCAACATGGACTCTGGAACCGTGCGCTAATGACAAACTCGATCTCGGTCCGAACGGAGCTGACTCGATTCCAGAATTACCGAGGCACATTATAGTTTCTACACTTGCCCTCGGTGGAAAGGTTGCACGGAGCAATTCGTGAGCACGTCCCGCTGAAACTGAGCTGAGCGGGGCTTCTTGCAGTATCGCCCACTACTTTAAGGTCTTGGAGCTGTCCAGAGTGTCTTAGAATTCCCAGGAGAAAATATCCAACTCTTCGTTCTCCAGAATCCAGCCTCTCGCCGGTCACAATGGCATTCAGCACCGCGGCCGAATTTGATGAGGTACGATGTAGTTGTTCAGGGGCTACATGTACTACAGATGGAGTATACATTGCTAACCAACTGCCCACAGGCCTACCAAACGGTACATGACACATTCGCATCTGGTCTCACCAAAAACAAAGAATGGCGACGCCAGCAACTCAAGCGCACTTGGTGGATGATCGAAGACAACAAGGATCGCATCTGCGCCGCCCTCTATACCGACCTCCACAGACATCGCTATGAAACAGGCCTTGCGGATATTGCAATGCTCCAAAATGACATCCTGCGCACACTCGAGAAGATGGACGAATGGACCAAGGATGAGAAGCCTACCCGTTGGGACATGGTAAACTTCATGGGCGGTACACGAGTACGCAAAGAGCCCAAGGGTGTAGCGCTCATCATCGGCGCCTGGAACTTCCCTTTCCTTCTCTTGCTTCAACCCATGGTCGCTGCGATTGCGGCAGGCTGCGCGATCATTCTGAAACCATCTGATATGGCAGCCGCCTCGCAGGATCTCTTGATGGAGATCATCCCGCAGTATCTGGACCTCAGTGCTATCCGCTGCATCAGCGCTGGGCCGCAGGAGATGCCGCACATTCTGGAGCAGCGCTACGATCATATCTTCTACACTGGATCGGGCAATATTGGCAAGATTGTACATGCGGCGGCTGCGAAGCATCTGACTTCCGTAACGCTTGAGTTGGGAGGTCAAGCCCCGGCTATCGTGACTGCAAAGGCCAATATAGAGTTGTCAGCCAAGCATATCGCTGCCGCCAAATTCACCAATGCAGGCCAGGTAGGACCTCTTGATCAGCAAATTGAAGCATATCTCCCGAAGCCACAATCAACTAACAAGCTCACCCAGGTTTGCCTCAACGTCAACCACGTCGTGGCAGATCCCACCATCCGCGAAGCCCTCGTAACTAACCTGATCAAATACTTCGATAAATTCATGGGCGGCCGCGACACCAGACCCGAATACTACACACACATCGTCAACGAGCGCAACTTCGACCGACTAGACCGACTTTTAACCTCCACATCAGGCAAAATTGTCTACGGCGGCCAACGCGACCGCACAACCCGGTTCTTCGCACCAACCATCGTCACAGACGTCAAACCAGGCGACTCCCTCCTCTCCGAAGAACTTTTCGGCCCAATCTTGCCCATAATGGACGCCGATCTCGATTTTGCATTGAAATACACTCGCGCCGGGGACAGACCCCTCGCTATCTACCCCTTCACACAGAGCCAGATCGAGAAAAGTCGTATTCTGGACGAGACCGAGTCCGGCGGCGTGACATTCAACGATTGTACTTTGCACTTCATGGCGCGCGATGCGCCATTCGGCGGCACCGGTCCCTCCGGTCAGGGCTATTACCACGGTCCGTACGGTATACGTGAATTCTCGCATCTGCGGACGTTTGTGGATGGCATACCGGCGTGGATGGAATGGCTCCTGGATGCGCGATACCCGCCGTACTCGATCGAGAAGCTGAATAAAGTTGCGCCGGCTGTGAAGCCTTCGTTTGACCGGGACGGAAATGATACTTCGCTGGGCCTGGCCAAATGGGTTTTGGGGCTTGGAGCGCTAGTGTTGTCGGTGGCTCTTGTGACGCCGCAACAGCAGGTTCGGTCGGTTTTTGCGCGGCTCGCGAATCGAGGGTGATGGGTGATGGGTGAATAGGTTGTATTTCGGGTTTGTTTGGATATTAGTGATTGTGAATCATTTTGTAAGGACGGATGGATATGGGATATTTGACTTGGGACTTGTGTAGCGTTGAACGCAAATTTTGAGGTTTGATGTATTGAATCTCTTTTCGCTAACTTGACATGCTTTGACCATAATTAGTCCGGAATAAATGGACCCCCTTACTCGAGGCACTCTAGTGCGAATGGATTGTTGAATTAATTAGTTTATATCTACCAAGTATACGGATCTCAGATGAGGTCAGGAGTATGTTCATTCGTATTGGTACTATGTGCAATACCTTCTAGTCAAATGGACCAGGGGCATAAGTCATGAAGTTATGCTACATCAATCATCAGAGGTGCCTTCACGATCCTCGAAGATCATAAACTCATCGTGAGCCACCTCATCTCCTACGATCTTGATCCACGCCTGCTTAATCATATCAACAGTCTCATCCTCAAACGCTAGGTCAAGACTCGGCGGCGGGAAGCTGTAGACATGGGGTGAATGAGTCTGGATGGAGGGTGGTGTCCCACCGTTACTAAGACGGCCCAGCTGGGTGTATCGCATGGACCAAAGAGCAATGGCCTGAGTGCCTTCTGCCTGAAGGAGTCGGTCCACAGCACGCTCGAGCAGAGCATGGCCTTGCGGACCGGAGACAGCAACGCTGCCGTAAATAATACCTGCGATGCTACGCATTAGCACACGAATATAAAATGATGCCAATGAATCAGAAATAAGAGTTGGTGCTCATAATCAGGAAATGATAGATTAGGTTTCATCAATGCGATCAGGCAATGTAGATAAGTAAAGGATAATCATCATACGAGCAGGAGGGAAGGTGACTTGGAACAAGAGGGTCGGAAGCACTTACTCTGTTGTCGTGGGCAATCGCCGGTGTCACTCGAGTGGACCTGGAGGTACACCGGCGGGGATTGAGGGCTGCCCAACGTATCGCCAGGGAACATAAGGACCGCGCTGGCGGGCACGGGTGCACCTTCTGTTGTGACGGGGAAAAGGGATGTGAAGGCTGAAGAAGCGATTGTAATCGACCTTGAAACCTTTGTGCAGGATGGCTGATCTATACTAGGAAGATCCCAGGCAGAACCAATCAGGGTCCGAGATCGAATGGTCTCTCCATTGGAGAGATGCACCTCGACAGGATGTTCTGACTCTGATGAGAGTCCGCCATCTGTAATTGATTGAATGCCTGTATCCAGAGCGTACACAGCTCCCCCGACGGCAGAAGCTCTGCATCCGACTTGGAGGATCTCAGAGCCCCCACCGTACTTCGAGACGACACCTCCGAAGCCAGGTCCCAGAGCACCGATGGAAGCTAGATGCCTCTTGATCCGAGGTACTGCATAGCTGGCAGAAGTGTCCTGCTGGGCCAGCTGTGACAGAGAGAGCGAGAGCAGAGGATCTTGGAGGTCCCGTGGAACACTGAAATTGGAGGACAAGTAGTCCGCAAAGGGCATTGACAGGTCCTCCTTTTCCTCCGTCTCGTCCTGCTCTTCCTCGTCTTGAGGTTTGCTAATTTGTCGCAAGAAACGCATCAGCGTCCTCTTAGACTTCATGCTGATATTGCTATCAGCGAAGACATCTTCGCGATTGCCGGGCACGCGATGGAACAGTCGCGTAGCTCCAAGCTCATGACTTTCAGCATTGGGGGGTTCCGGGGAGTAAATCCACCAGCTGCCAACAGCCATGAACTCCAGCTGGCGGTAGACCTTCGAGGAGATGAGGATGGAAATTAGTTCTGAGCGGGTGTAGAGGAAGTATGGGGAAAGAGAAAGGGTGTAGGCGCGACTAGCAGCCAGCTTCGGACGGTTGTCTGGCGTGCCCTGAGGAAGCTCGCTGGCCGCAGAGTCAACCTGGGAGGAGGCAGACTGGGGTGAGGCTTGGTGGTTGGAGATCTTGGCATCCTCAAATGGAGTCCGACCTGGATCTGCCAGTTGAGACACATCAGCGACCAGCTGGGATGAAGGACACTCGCCGCGGCGACCCACGTTGATTGACACAGTTCATCCACTCCGAAGCCTCGTCCAGACTGAAAGCGGCCTCTGACCCTCCATAGTATGAGTTCTGATCCAAGTGAAGTACCTTCTTTCCCGACCGCGATAGGGCTCTGGACGAGGACGAGGTCAGAGGGTGAACAAAGCCTGTGCTTCACACAAGACACTCACAATGCTAGAAGAGATTGGTCCAGCCCAGTACCTGCAATGATTACATCCCACGGATGCTCTGATAATGACTCCATATTGTCAAAGGCCAGGACTGAGGTCTGAGCTGTAGCAAGTAAGTGCACGAGTTGTACTGAAGCAAGAAGCAGGCCCAACTCTCATCACATTGGGTGGTAGCTCTTCAGACTCTTTGTGAGCATCTCTGGAAGACCATGGGCCAGAAACAAAAATGTTCAGCCCGTGGATTTAAGGATCCAGTGGAGAGAGAAGGAAAGAGATGAAAAAACTCGTGGCCTGTGGAGCTTTTGTGAGGGAAGGCGGTCAGAGCTATACGCGGTCAGAGCTATACTGCCAGCTATGCCATGTTGGATTTAGTTAGCGGGGCTATGGCCAAGTGCAGAAAGCATGCAAAACTGTGGAAAGCTCTCGTCAGGTCAAGAGGCTGCTTTGCATCATGAATGAGGGCTATTTGAATACTATTCAACATATTGTCTCTAAACTTTTGCTTTCCTATTTTCGTGGTACTCGCGAATCGACTGGCATGCGCCTGTTTTGTTGGAACATAGGAAAGTATGAATTGAAGCATTGTAAATCCATCGTAAATACGAAAGAGAAAGTGAAGTCCTGAATACGGAGACAGAGATAAGGCTCAGATAATTCATTTAGTTCACTGGATTAGCTACAGAAAGTAAAGACTTTCGACTATAGTATGCATTCAGCGGGAAATATAGAAGGCAGGGTGCCACAGAGGCTATGTACATATCCACGATGAGGTTCAGACGAGTCAAGACATACTCACGCACCTGAAATCATGTCATAAGTCATTAAGAAGATCTCCTAGGATAGTTGAATAATTGCCGCTGCTCGTCGGGCAATGCGCGTGAGTAAATTAGATTTGTATGCTTGTTCAATTGTGCCTTCAACGAAGCGGTCCTGGCGTTGGATTGCGGTAAGGAGCTTTTCAAGCTGCGCAGGAGTAGCTTGTTCAAGGAGATCATTGTTGTAAAGGGCGATAGCTTCATCAGATTTATTCCAATCGCCCCAGTTGAAGCCTGGCTTGCACCACTCATGAAGAGCATCTAGAATGGATGACTCGATCCTGGCAAAGGATTGACTCTGAGAGAGTAGAGGGGCTATCTGGGCCAGTTTGGTAAGACGTGGGATATCAGAGGGAGCAATCACAGCGCTATGAGAAGCATGAGCGAGAGGCGCGCGAGAGTCGTCCAATATAGCCTTCTGTTCAATCGTGCTGGACAGCGCGAGATGGCTAGGGACATGCAGCACTGGACATTGCGTTGTGAAATAGAGCGCATCTTGCCCAGGATATCGTTTGAACTCCCCTTGAAATAATTCCGCAAGGAAGGAGCGCTGCGCTTGGGTTGTGCCTTGGGTGGCTAGTGCTAGCTCGCCGTTTCGCGCTTCGTAGATGCCTGGTTCACCGCGCCGCGGGGTATCTCGAAAAGTGACCTCAGCCCCCCGGGCGTAGGCAAAGCCAGGCACACGCTCAACGATAGCGCTCGCTATGACTGTAGATGGCGTCGTAATAGTGAGAGGCATGTTAGCAAGCTCGCGATTGAGGGATCGAATGGGAAAAGGGGTGCTAAACGAGGAAGCTCTCTCGAGTCCTCGAGTTCCCGAATCAAATACGATGTACCCGGCTTGTGTTGGTCACCCACCCCCTCTATATTCTAAACCAAATGAAGCTGATACAACACATGACTTTACCTAAGTATCAAGTGTCTGATTCGTAAAACCTCGGACAGTTAGTTGTTCTTGTCTTGTCAACTCCCAGCGACTTGATCTATACATACAACAGACACGTGATTGAAGCTTACTCAGCACGCTTGTGGGCGCCCACTTAAAAGGAAAATTCCTGTCGGCAGAGCTTTCTTTCTCCCATGCCACTCCCAGTGCTTTGCACAGCCCGGCTGCCATGACATGACAATCCCGGGCTTCATGACGAATGCCTTCACTGGTGCTCGTCGTGGGGGTGGCAGATAAGATCTCACTCTGTATCTGCTGCTCTGGATGGAGACATTTGACAGAAGCGGTTCGTTTTGTAGTGATACATTCATTTATTCGTCTACTATCTGGTTTTAAAGGAGTCAGCTCCTCCCATATGATGAATCTCGTAGCTTCGTAGATGGGCGCAAGTCCCGATGCCATGGTCAATGGGCGCGAGCAGGAATATTTTCGAGCTCAACTCGTGCTTAGTGCACTGGCTGCCGCCCCAGTTTGAACCTCTTCTGCCGAAGGACAACTGAACCTCGGTCGCGGGATATGTGTTCGTGGCTGGGTCAGAAAGGAAGGTAGCTGAATCGCAGAGGTGTCCCTCCATTGAGCTGCAATGGAGTTGTATGGACCATGCTGGTTCACGCCTCAGCTCCCTCCTCCACCACTCGAGCCCGAATGATTTTGACTTCATCCATGGGCCGATCCTCGCTGTTTGTCTTGACTAGACCCATGCGTTGGATCACTCGCATCCCACTCTTGACGCGGCCGAAGATTGTGTGCTTCCCGTCTAACCACGGCGTCGGCGCAAGTGTGACAAAGAATTGGCTACCGTTCGTGTTCGGACCGCTGTTCGCCATACTCAAGACGCCTGCGCCGGTATGCTTCAAGTCGTCGCGGATCTCGTCCTCGAATTTCTCGCCATAGATAGAGCTTCCTCCTCGACCTGTGCCGGTAGGATCGCCAGTCTGAACCATGAAGTTGGGGATGATGCGGTGGAAGATCACGTTGTTGTAATAGCCCCTCTGCGCAAGGGTAGCAAAATTCTTGCAAGTCTAAGCAACTCGACTGTTAGTTTCGGAATAGACTTGCTGATCAGGTGGCGATTTACGAACCTTGGGCGCGTGAGTGTTGTAGAGCTCGACAGTGAAGGAGCCCTAGGAAGTGTTAGTCTTTGGTAGGTAACTGTAATGACCTTGAAGTATTACCATTGAGGTATCGAAAACCACGTCTGTTGTCATGATTGAAATTAAGTATGTGTTTTTTCGGGGCCTGGGATCGATAACAAGCTGGGGACAGGTAACAATGGCGCAGGATGAGAGAGAGAGAGACGAAGAGAGGGAAAGTGCAAGAGCTGCGGGACCGGAAGGTGGAGCTTGGCGCGGCATCTCACAGAACATCTGATCCAGCAACCTTCAACATTCCCTCACTCTGCATCTGATGGCCACTATGGAATAAGTCGCTCTTTTATTGTCTTCAGTGTGTCTGTGTTTCTGGCTTCCGTAAGCCATCTGTCTCTCCCCTTGAGCGATCTCTCTCACACCCGGAAACCATGTCGGAAGAGGTCAGCCCCGTCGCGGAGCTGCTTGGGCTCGCAATCTACCATTTTGAACGCCTCAAACCCCTCCTACCGACCTACGGACATTTGCTCGTCGCCTCCCTCTTTCCTATCTGGATTGGCGCGCATGCCTCTCTTTCTCGACCTTCCTCCGCCGCCAAACCTCCCAAGAAAAACAACGAGAAGGATGGAAATAATTCCGATAATGACGAGTCCGACGATGAGTCGGGACCAGTCCAGAAAATGGAGGGACTTGAGCCATCTGATGCTCTCATGTTCCCGTTGACTGCAGGTCTCACTCTAGGAGGCTTGTATCTGGTCATCAAATGGCTGGAAGATCCCGCAATTCTCAACAAGATTCTCAGCTTCTACTTCTCTTGGATGGGTGTATTTTTCGCCATCGCTTTCCTCAAGGATACCTTGTTGATTGCCCGATCGTTTGTCTTTCCGAGGCATTATCACTTCGGGGGGAAGATATGGCATGCAGAACAGTCAGAGCGTACATTTGTTGCTCAATCGGTGAACAACAGGTCAGAGGTCGCGACACATATTCGACACTCGCCTCTCCCTGGAATTTTAGGCGCAGTCCCGCTTCCAAACTGGGTTTTTGCTTTGATGTGGGCTTCTCGCAATGTGTCATATCAACGCCTACGACTGCGGGCTCACATTCGTGGTCTTTTCGATGTCAAAACCCTCGTGGGCCTGCTCGACCTTCTCAGCGGACTCTTTGCTCTTGCTGCTGTGGGGTACTTTGCCTTTGTGACCAAGCCTTGGTGGCTGACCAACTTTCTCGGGTTTAGCTTCAGCTATGGAGCGCTGCAGTTCATGTCACCGTCTACCTTCTGGACGGGCTCGTTGATTCTAGGGTCGTTGTTCTTCTACGATATTTACTTTGTCTTCTTCACCCCGTTGATGGTCACAGTTGCCACCAAACTGGATGTTCCAATCAAGCTTCTTTTCCCTCGACCACCGAGTCCTGGTGAAGAACCCGATGTTCAAGCGTTAGCCATGCTGGGCTTGGGAGATATTGTCATCCCCGGAATGATGATTGGATTGGCATTACGATTTGACCTATTCCTCTACTACCGCCAGAAAGGAATCCAACAAGCGCAGCTCCAAGGCCTCGATGCCAAGGCTGTCAAACCTCAATATCAACGGGCAACTGGATCGTGGGGAGAGCGCTTCTGGGCTCCAGCGGTGAAACCGCAAGTCCCAGAGTTCCAGCCACCATACTCGGACGCGCGATCTTTTCCCAAGGCGTACTTCAAAGCCAGTATTGTTGGATACGTCGTCGGAATGATCACAACTTTACTCGCCATGCAATACTCCAACCATGCCCAGCCCGCCCTGCTATATTTGGTTCCTGGCGTACTGATTTCATTGTGGGGAATGGCGTTCATCCGTGGAGAGACTAGCATCATGTGGGACTTTTCTGATGCAGAAGAAGAGGAGGAGGAGGAAGTGGGCGAAGCCGAAGGCAAGGACAAAAAGTCTGAAAAGGAAAAGAGTGGCGATGCTGCTTCCCAAGAGCATAAGACATTTTTTTCGCGTCTCCTCTCCGGCGATCTTAAGCTTTTCACAACGAGCCCTAATGATGCTCCTCCGGAGAAGGCTCAGCAGGAAAATGACAAGGAGGGCAATAGCAAAGAAGCCCCTGGGGACAAGAATTCGGATGAAGCTGATTCTAAGAAACAGCAGGACAAGGGCGTCAAAGACCAAGGAGGCCTGGAGTTGATCTCATTTTCGATCTCCTTCCCTGAGAAGTCTCAAAAAAAGCCAGTCCTGACTCTGCAGGGCGCTCTACTACAGAAGGAGATTCGATGGTGTCTATTCCCGATGTTGGTGAGTGGAATGATGAACCTCCACTGAAGAAGAGACGTGGAACTCCCAGAAAGCCTGCGATGCATTGATAAGTGCCAGATGGGGGCCGGTGTGATTAGAAGCTTTCCCACAGACTGAAAGCTTGCTTGTTTAACGATACAATGTATGATATCCTGTGCTTAAAAATCAGATTCTATTCAAACAGATCATGAAGTGGTATCCTTTGTTTCTTTTTGTTCATCTCCGGCCCATTAACATTGTTCTAGTATCCGTTTCATTTCGTCCCACCTCCGAGCTGACATTTCCACCAACTGTCGAAGATCCTCAGTGTCAACAGTCCAACCCCCATTCTTCTCCATTTTCACGATAGTCGTCTTCCCATCCTTCTCCTTATCAATAACGACGCAGGCCCGCTCCTGAATTAAGCCCTCCTCGTAGCCATCTGGGTCTGCAAGGATCCACCTCTCGGGGGAGCCCTTCTTGTCTTTTTGGGCTTGTGCGTTTTCCTCCACAGCATCAGGGATAACGTTTGCACGCCATCCTGCCGCAGCATCCGCCTCAAAGACACCATATGAGCTTGCGACAGGCAAGCCACGAAGAGATAGTTTGCGAGCATCTGCAACACTGTCCGAGCAAACGATTGTCTCGTTGTCGACGTCCCACCAGGCTTTAGGGAGCTTCGTATCGCGGAGGGCGGCAAGCACAGCAGCCCATGCAGCGTCGAAGGGGTTTCCAGCGAGTGAGATTATCATGATATCAATGTAAAGAACCCAGAAAGCCTTAATTTCACGGGGCTTTTCCTCGGCAGTCGCGCTCTGCTCGGCGTCCACATCCATTTGCTCTTCGTCGTTGTGTCGCTCCAGTTCCTCTGGTCCAAGATTGGGCGGTTGATACCAGACACGGAGGTCATCCGCGCGCACTAAGCGTGTGCTGTGTAGAAGGGAGAGAATCTGGTGGGAAAGTGACTGGGCGAGCGCAGAAGGCGCCGCACCAGGAATGAAGCCTGGCGCACAGCCGGTGCTCAAGGAGAGATTTGGAACAAGCAGGTTGAGATCTTCGATATGGGCGCGGTCCTCCTCTGGATCTTCATCTTCATCCTCCTCGGTTGGCTTCTCGCCCAGGTCTGCTAGACGCCGACGCTTATTAGAACCTGACGCTTGCGAGACGCTCCACGAGGCGATATCTTCGGTGTGTAAGAGCTCCGCACGGACGCCGCATACAGCGGCGGTATCGCCGATGCGCACTACAGCGCTGCCATTTGTATGGGTCAGCGAGCCTGCATTGGCAGATGTGACACGGAATTGCGAAGGTGCGCGGCCATTGGCGCGAATGGAAGGCTGATTGCTCGCCGATGGAGGAGAGAGGTGGCCAAGTAGGTAGGCGTGAGGCTGGAGGCGGGCAAATTGCGATGGAGGAAGCGAGAGAGACGGCGGAACCGAGGGAGCAGCCGTTGCGGCTGGGGGGGCCATGGTGAAGAGCTTTGATGGCACTCAATTGTCTTGCGTATTGTAGATCGGCAGGCTTGAGGAAAAAGCGAGCACTGGGCGGCAGAATCATTTGCTATCAAAGGCGGTGGGTGTGGAGATTAGAGCCTGAGGCCCACTACGAGATGCAGTCATCATGTTCGAGACGGTGAGCGGAGAGAATCTGTAGATTTCAAGATTTGAAAATGATTTTACCGACTAAGATTGTAAATTCCCCTTTTGTGCCACCCGCCTTCTTTGACCTGATTGGTCAAATACAATGTCTGTTATCATGGGCAATACGCATACATTCGGGCTGCATTGCCGCATCGCAGCATTCGAAGCCTAGCTTGCATACATAAATATAGGAGCCCGATCCTTGGATGATTGTCTCACGAAGATTAACTTACAAATTACCTGATAGTGGTGTGCCATCCCCAATTTGTTTGAAAACAGAAGGTTCTCCAGTCGCCATCAGTCTCCCCCAGTCTTCTCGGACATTCATCATGGAAGTACAACAGCAGCACCCAACACCATTGCAGCTACAGATATCCCAAACAACGCACCCAAGTTATTCCATGTCCTCGGGCTCGGAGCACCTTTTGCAGCCGCATTGGAGGTAGACGTAGTCTGTGAGGATTTGACGGTCCCTGATCCTGTTTCGCTGAGATCGGACTGATGATGGATAAGAGCTAACATGGGCATCACAGAGGCTCCAACGAGTTCAGATATAGCCATGGTACCAACAGTGGTCGTACTAGGTGTGACTGGATAAGTCCCTGTGAGAGTAGCCACGAGCTCCTCCGTGGTAGTCTGGTGTTCGACGAGGGTCTTCGTTGCTTTACCAACATATTCATTTGGCATGAGATTCACGCAAGCTTCCTTAAACTTGTACTCCGGGACAGTTGAATTGCAGCCTAAAGCGACATCTCCAGTCATGGAACTGGGAAACTGATATTAAGCGAGGAGGGACATTTGGTTGCGCTTTATCACACAGACATACCTCGGGCAACACTTCGCGAGAGTCTCGTTCGGGTCGAGAAGATCCATCAACAGGGTAGTTGTATTTTCGAATTCGACAAACGTCGTCGGTAGTGGTTTCCCAGAACTTGTGATATGCTGAAGCTCAACAGCCCGACGAGCTGAGGGAGTTGTTGGCATCACGAGCAGCGATACCCTCAGTAGCCCATCCAGATGGGCAATACAGGCCTGGTGAAAAATACTCTGGATGATACATTGCAGAAGGGTTTCTGTCGAGAGTCTGTTGTACCGAGGCCGTGCCAGTAAGTACACAGCCAAAGAATCCATCTGTGGAGCATTGCGCCTGGAATAGAAAGCAAGGAACCTCGAATTTGGCCCCAATCATATAATTACCCGTCGCAGTCGCACAGCTTGCGGGTGCTGTAAAAGTGGTGGTGAGAGGGCCCCAATTACTGAAGGTATAGCCATCAGTGATGGTGATGCTGGGCATGGTGTCGACTTCCGTATGTATAGGAGATTCTGGCGAGGTAATCTTTTCGAGAGTATTAGGGAGATGAAGAGGGGAGAAACTGGGAACCAGAATGTCAAGTAAATGGCTATGGCCAAGCGATGGTACTATCTTGGGCCAGAACCTCGTCCTAGTGGCCTTCGATGTCTGAAATGGGGCTCTTGGTGCTTGGCTAGTGCTTGTTCATACTTCGACCAAGCAAAATCAGGAAAATGAAGGGGCATTAGCCATATCTGGGATAGCGTGCCCTGTGGTCAAGTCTGCATCAAAATTGTGGAAGATATTCCAGACTAGGAGGTGGTTCATGTGAAAGAAGGTGAATGATTGCGAAGAACTCAAGCAAATCAAGTAACAAAAGGCGTTTAGAGAATTTGAAGCAATTAGAAGACTCGGAAGATTTGTAGTGGTCCCTAAAATTCTTGATCGCCATGCGTTGACATGGGGAAACAATCGGAAACTAGTGCCGATTAAGCCCACAGAAATATTTGAAAAGCACTGTCCGAGCTCGAAGAAAAAAGTAAGCATGTGCTCGCATGCTAATATTATTAAAAAGTGGGCTTCAAGTTTTGTTCAGGTCAAGAATCATTGGCTGTCTCCGTTGACGGGAAAAAGATGAAGTAATTGCATACGGAAGAGGGTTGTACATAGTAGTCATTAGAATGGATCTGTTACCCCAGGCCAGCTTCCAGCTCCCTTAGTGAACACTAATCTAGTCAATTTTGGATTCTTTTTACTTTCTGTTTTCTTTTAAAGTTCGATATTCTGATTTCCTCGGCATTAAGCCCGAGAAAGGTGGGGCTTAGAATTGCTCGCCCGAGGGTGCTATCCTCTTGCATGAGCATCAGCACGGGTGACTGGCTTAGGATGGATGTCTGGGATCAGGGCCTAGTTGATCATATTTCAGCCTTTTTCTCCTTCTGAGATAAGGTAATATTGTCTTTTTGCTTTTAACACGTACTTGAAGATATAGTATCTTATTGTCGCGGTAGCACACAGGCCCAGCCACCTAGAAAGAGTAGACTTGACCTGAGGCTCCAGCACCTATTATTTCAAGGTCCGCTTGATATTGAATAGTCAAAGATACGTCTGCGAGGCCAGATGGCTTGAATAGGGATAGTGGGATGTCACTCGTCACAGTCTTTTGGACATCGGCAAGTCGAGGTTGATTAAGGTTAAAAATCCGACGAAGAAATTGGATTCATTGAAGAACAGCCCGGTCAGCGAAAGAAAACAGTAACGACAAGTTAGAAGAAATAAAACCAAGCATTTCGTCCGACGAATCAGCCGACACTGTCGAGTTGTTGGACTTGTATGAAGAAAGGGGTCTCGAATGTCTTTGTCAAACCAGTCAAGTGTCTGGACGCATGCGACATCATACGTAACCTTTGTACTCCTCAAAGCTGCAGCATTTCTGCTCTGAGATTCAATGTATATTCTAGCCTTTTGATCAGTCAGACCTTCCAGAGTAGGAGAATATGCCTTGTTCCTTGGCCGCGCGATATTTTACAATTTCGTTGATAACACCAAGGAGGAGACCAAGATAGGATATTTATGTCAACAGTCGCAGTTTGATGGTATGAAACCAGAGCTGAGACCAAGAACAAAGACCATGCAAATACTTTCTAATTTTCTTTTTGTTTGATATGTATTTCTAAATTATTCCTCAATTTTCCTCTTGTGTATGACCCAATAACAACTAAGGTAACTATACCCTATCCGCACTTCCTCATAGTGACCAGCAGGCACCGCGTAACAGTTTGAAGTTACGAGTGGGGCGTATGCTGAGGTTGTTAAAGTGGGTCTACCAGACTTAGGCACTAAGCCTAATTAAGAAGGATTAGACTCAAGTCGAGAGACCTACCTATCCAAGTCGAGGATCAAACTATTTCCTGATTTCCTGATTTTCTGTGTTAGGGTTGATTTTAATTAAATAAAATAAATGCCACAATTAGTTCCATTCTTTTGTGTAAATCAAGTAGTATTTGCTTAGAAAGAAAACGAAAAGGCCATTGCTAGCCGCTGAGTTGAGGCTTATAATCAGATACACACCGTGAAGAACAAGCACCAGGGAACACCCAACAGGAGGTAACCCTAGGCAGAATTAGCCGCACAGCCTTGGTATTACTTGCTACAGAGGTTGCAGTAAGCGCTGTAATTACTGATCGAGTATGGTCATTGGCAGGCGCCTATGCCAAGCCTAAGACGAATACTTTGGTAAGCCGGAGATAAGCCGAGCCGGAGCTTAGCTTTGGTGGAATTCCCCCTGCCTTGGCCAATGGCCGAAGGTTCCCTGTCTGTCCCGCAGCTGTTCGACACCTACTTAGCGATAGCCTCATAGGGGACACATGTGGTTGTCCAACGGAAGCGCTCAGATCACCCACATGGTGAATAATGTTGAAACAGAGTTCTGCCAAGGCTTGCTCCATCGTGCGGGCTTGCCCTTTATGGTGTCGCAAAAGCTCATCGGGCAGGTGCGGTTGGGAGAATCACCGACAGAGATTCTTCCATCCACGCTGCTCATGCAGGCCATGTGCGTTTTACATGCGTGGGAATTGACTGTTTCTTGCAGATGCTAGTCTACTCCCCGCAATATGGTCTCGCATTATTAGCTACTCAAGTACTTCGCTGTCTGCCCTGATCTGCCCATAGGAGAGGACGGGACTGAGAGAACCGAGACGGCGTCCCTTAGAAATCTCAGAACAGAACCAAAAGACATTGCCTTTGCCTGTGTTCTCTCTGTCACAATGGTCTTTGCCAGTCACCTTAAACTCGCAGCCGCGGTGGCAGCGATGCCCCAGCTGGCTCTTGCAGCGGCCAGCAACGCCATCAACTCGCAGATCCGTCTCGCGTATCACGGCGACAACGGCATGATGATATCGTGGAATACGTTCCAACAGCTCAGCAGGCCTACAGTCCACTTTGGCCTCTTGGACAGCAACCTCAACGAGACGGCCTCATCCAACATCTCAGTCACTTACCCGACCTCGTTGACTTATAACAACCATGTCCTCATCACGGGCCTATCTCCTGACACAACTTACTTCTACCTGCCCGCCCCCTGGTCAACTCCAACTCGTCAGTGCCCTACAATTTCACCACCAGCAGGGTCGCCGGTGACAAGACGCCCTTCTCCGTCGCTGTCGTTGTCGACCTCGGTACCATGGGCACCAGGGGCCTGACTACTAGCGCTGGCACGGATGTCAAGCCCCAGAACGTCCTGGCCCCGGGAGAGACCAACACTATCGAGTCACTGGCCAATCACCAGAATGATTTCGACTTTATTTGGCACCCTGGTGATATTGCCTATGCGGACTACTGGCTTAAGGAGGAAATCCAGGGCTTCCTGCCAAATACCACCATCGAAGAGGGCTACACTGTCTACGAGGCCATTCTCAATGACTACTACGACCAGATGATGGACGTTACCGCCATCAAGCCCTACATGGTCGGCCCTGGCAACCACGAAGCTACGTGCGATAACGGCGGCACCACTGACAAAGTCCACAACATCTCTTATACAGCTGACATCTGCGTCATGGGTCAGACCAACTTTACCGGCTACAAAAACCACTTTCGCATGCCTAGTGACGTCTCGGGTGGCACTGGAAACTTCTGGTACTCGTTCGACAGCGGCATGGTGCATTTTGTCCAGCTCGACACTGAGACCGACCTCGGTCATGGCTTGATTGGTGCCGACGAAGTTGGCGGTGCAGAAGGCATGAACGCTGACCCTGTCAATGCCACTATGAATGCTCAGACGATGTGGCTCGAGGCCGACCTTGCCGCCATCGACCGTGCCAAGACTCCCTGGGTCATTGTCGCCGGCCACCGCCCCTGGTATCTTAGCCATGCTAACGTGTCGGGCACCATCTGCTGGTCCTGCAAGGACGTTTTTGAGCCACTATTCCTCAAATACAGCGTTGACCTCGTGCTCTCTGGCCACGCCCACGTCTACGAGCGCCAGGCTCCCATTAACAACAACGTCTACGACACCGCCGAGCTCAACAACCCCACGTCTCCTTGGTATATCACCAATGGTGCTGCCGGTCACTACGACGGCCTCGACGCCCTAGACACCGCCCGCAAGAACTACAGCCGCTTCGGTCTTGACACTTCCAATGCTACTTACGGCTGGTCTAAGCTGACTTTCCACAACTGCACCCACATGACCCATGACTTTATCGCTAGCAACAATGGCAGCGTCATGGACACTGCCACTCTCTTCAAGAAGCGCATTTGCAGCACCGGCATGGTTATAGAGACCACTTCCAATACCACCACCCCTACTGCTACCGCTACCGCCGGTGCCGCCGCCGCTCTAAGTGTCCCCAGCGGCGTTTGGGCTCTGCTTGCTGCAGCCGTGGCTGTCACAGGCGCGTCTCTGTAGATTAGTTGCTTAGGCTTGTCGGATCGTATCGGGATATGGGAGGATCTAGTGTGAGATGGGCAAAGAATTGACTGCCTAAATAAACTGACAGGTTTATAAGGCCTATCCGAAAACACCACTGTACGGCTTAATTTGTATATACTTTAGGCTATATACTAGCCACTACTATCCAATCGGATAATCTGGGTATAAAATCGCGGATATAATAGCTATGCCACATGCATCACCACTGTAGTCAAGACACCATCAGATCTAGCAATCACCAATCAAACAGCTACTGTACTGCATAAGATCACTACGCAGGCTAGATCTATCTAGATCTATAACATGCAAGAAATACGTCTGATAAGTTTGCATAAAAATCAATTATAAATATGCTTAGCTTTCTCTAGCTAGATAAAAGAGGATCATCATTATTTGATCATATAAGATAATAGATTGATTATTACCAAGTGTGACGAGGCAGATTGTCAGCAACCTACAAGGAGTAACGACAGCTAACCAAGCCCTCAGGAACGACAATACTTACAGGGGTCACGTATAACTGATCAGACCGCCAACTGATAAGTTTCTAGGAGTAGATGGAATATATAAAGGGGCATTTTACGCGACGCTGCTCAGTATTCGATCAGGGTGATCAAGGAGAACATGTCCTCATGGTAAAGGATTTCTGGTTCTTAGAAGGCATCTAGGTAGGTGACATAGTATGCCTATTGCCAGAGTAATTAGGGACGCTAAATGATAACCTTCTCGACAATGCCCTCGGCTTCCAGTTCATGATTTTGGTTAAGCACCTAGTTTTGTCACCGCAGGTCAGATATACAACCTGCTCCGCTGCATTTCCATATGCCCATTTTTTAAGTCAAGAATATATCCGCGCCCTCTGTACCTACTGCTAACATATTATTAGAAATGGCATTCCTTCACACCCTCTTAGGCTCTCATTAACTTCTTCTCGGATATGCACGTCAGCAGGAAGTTATTCGGTTCAGATAGCCGAGTGTGGTTCCGAATGAGGTATTTGCTTTGCTAGACGAGAACGAACCTCTTTCCAGAGCTACGTATAAACGAGCTTCAACCGCTATACAACATCAAAAATAGAATAGGCAAAGATGTACAGTACTACAGTACTACGATGGTTATAATAATAGCAGCATCCCAATGATGTGCCACTCGTTTGCCCTGTCCTTAACAAACCATCGAGCTCCAAGTCGACTGCCGATGGCCCGATTGGTGGCATCCCCTCCACGCTAATGCGGGCGGATCACTTTGCATCACCCGAGTCACCTCCATCAAATGGGCCTGATTGGCTATCCCAGCGCTAATCCATCACATCCCACTGGGAGCTTTTACTCCGCACGCACAGAACTGCACGGCGAGACGCCCTGAGAGCCACCATTTACTCCGTCCATGACTCGCTATGCACCGGCTGCCTGCTATTGGCCCAGCGACCAGTCCTGCAGGACTGGTCGATGCAGTGGGCTCGTTCTCGTCACAGCAACGATGAGGCGGCGCTATTTGTGAAGCCCCCCGCTTCATGCCCTCATACATCAAGCTGGGATCGCCCCTCGAAATTACCAGTTCGTGCTGCGACTCCATCTGATACCTCTGTCTGCTCGACCCCCCGCGATGACATGAAGTTGGCGCAGCGATAGATCTTGGAAGGGAGTGCTTTCTCCTGCTCGCGATACATTGAGAGTCCACACAGTCAGAGTAAGCCGACCGCTACATTACCTTCTGAAGAATAGAGGAATAACCCGGGCTTATGATTGTGGTTAGTCGTACAGGGTGCGATCAAGCTCCGATCCTCTAACCCCATATACGCTCTGTACCAGACTCAATATGGACTTCCTCAAGTCCCTCGCCAAGCGCGTCAATGTTGTCGTGTCGGCATCCACGACCGATAAGGAGCTGGCGGAGATGAACCGAGATCCGTGGTCGAAATCCGCGAAATATGGCTACGGTTTCGTCTACTTTGCGGTCGTGTTGCTGGTCACCACCTCGCTGATTCGATTTTATCACATCTGGGGCGACAAGATCCGGATCGCCAAGTACAAAGAACAGCAAACAATTGTCTTCGGTGGCTCCTCGAACAATGTGTCGACGCCCGATGAGTATGAGCTCCCCAGTGCTGGCACGGACGCTTCGAGTGCGCATTTCTTCCCGGCACCAACTCAAAAACCTCAGATCAAGCGCGGCGAGTCCTTGGTCCAAAGGGTCATTCCATTGCAGAGAGCGATTGCACTGATGCGCTGGATCTTTTATCGACCTATACCGGTTGTCAGGATCGGAAGTCTGGAATTTGTCTTTCCATCCTTAGCAGTCACAGTCATCGTTCTGGCCGCCCTGGTCTTCGTGGCTCTGTACTGCTTCCTGCCGCAGCCCTTGTACTACTGGTCGATTGCCCTCGGATCACCACCTTTGGCCATTCGAGCGGGCATGCTCGCAGTTGCCATGGTCCCGTGGATCGTGGCTCTCAGTACCAAGGCCAACTTCATTTCCATGCTCACAGGATTGGGCCCGGAGCGATTGAATGGGCTGCATCGGTGGTCCGCCTACATTTGCCTGTTCTTGAGTCTTGTGCATATGATCCCTTTCTACATTACTCCGATCTGGGAGGACGGAGCTATGATCAACTACCGCACGTTCATCACGCTGCCCATGTACGTATATGGTACGGGGTTAGCAGCCATCGTCCCTTTATTAGTCCTGTGCGTTCACTCGCTCCCATTTTTCCGGCATAAATTGTACGAGCTTTTCGTGGCTATTCACATCCCCGTTTCTTGGATCTTTGTGGCGATGCTCTTTTGGCATACCAAGAACTTCTTGTCATCCTGGGGTTATCTTTGGACAACCGTCGTGATCTGGATTATCACGTACATCATCCGGTTGTTCTATCTGAACTGGACGAATCCTTTCCGCCTGGCATCCTTCATGATTGGAGAAGAGTCTGCAGTGACATTACTTCCTCAGGGAGCTATTAAGGTGACGGTTCCTACTCAAATGCGCTGGCGCCCCGGCCAGTATGTCTACTTACGCATGCCGAGTATCGCCTTCTTCGAGAGCCATCCATTCACCATTGCATCCCTGTGCAGTGACGACTTCCCATCTGAGTATGGCGAGGAATACCGGGACTGTACCCTTGTCTTCCGACCTTCTCGTGGATTTACACGGAAAGTGTTTCGCAAAGCGCTTGAGAATGGCCCTTTCCGAACGTACACGGCCTTCTTAGAGGGGCCGTATGGTGGCATGCAGCGTGAGATGGCTGCTTTTGACGACGTGGTTTTCTTTGCTGGTGGCAGTGGTATCACTGCGATTGCCAGTCAGCTACTGGACCTGATCAAGAAGATTCGGGATGGCAAAGCCATCACCAAATCGGTCAAGGTCATTTGGGCACTGAAGAACACAGAGACCATGGAGTGGTTCCAAGAAGAGCTTCGAATATGCAAAGACCACGCGCCCGCTGGTATTCTGCATTGTCACTTCTTCCTGACGGCCGTCAAAGATGACCCAGGAGACCGTGACATCGTACAAGAGAAGATCTACGGCATGCTACAAGGCATTGACAAGCGAAACTCTGCATATATCCGCGAAGAAGCCGGAGGCGACGCCGAGAGGGAAAAGGAACTACGACGCGAGAACGAAGACGGACTCGCCGCTTTGCCTGGAGCATATACCGCTTCCCACGTCGCTAATAACCGCCACTATTATCAGCCTGGAATGGATCCACATGCTGCTGCAGGTGCACATGGGTTGAACAACAACGTTCCGTTCGACTTTGGATTTGGCAGCCCTCAAGTCATGCAACAAAGACAACCGGCGCCAACACCGCGATTTGCTTATTTCCAACCCGGATTAAGACGGGACAACTGGCGGACAGATTATTTCCGTCCCGACATCTCGCAGATGCTTACTGATTTCTCGAAGACTTTTGGACGGCGAGCTTGTGTCTTTGTTTGTGGGCCACCCGGTATGCGTGTGGAAGTAGCCAATACTGTGGCTAAACTCCAGCAGCAAGTTATGACGGGTTCCTCTCGAGATGAGATCTTCTTGCATGCGGAGAATTATAACATCTAATCTAGCGATTTTTCTCATCTTCTTCACCTTTGTTCACTGGATACCCTTGGCGCGGATCAAACCATTTTGTTTGATGAATGGACGCTGGATCATTTACTGTAATTATTATATCTCAATAAAGCACATATACCCATTAGTGTTAGAATGACTTGCTCTAAATCGTAAACTCGAAGCTTCTATATCACAAAAGTCTGAGCGCTTGTATTGCATGACTTGACGAAGACTCTTCGTAATGTATAGGGTATCCAAAGTAATTCAAACAGCATAACACGCAAGTCACTGCAACATACGCAAAAACTACCTTCGCTGAGGCATGTTTCCATTCTCCTCCTCTGCTTTGCGCTTCCTCGAGGGTGTCATTTCGTCCTTATCCAGGACTTGGGACTCACCCAATAGCTGAACACCATGATCATCGTCTTCGTCGTCCTCAGCCTCGACCTTCTCCCACCCTTCATCATCGGGGTCACTTCTGACTGTACTCTGGGAGGCATTCTTCTTCACAGTGACTGGGCTTTGATCATCTGCCACGTCATTCCATCGTAGGTCTAATCGCACGACCTTTGCACCCGAAGGCTGTAATCTTCGATAGTATCCCTCCACAATACCGTCCTGCACCTTGAACCCACGAGCAACATACCATCTCAAGCCATCTTCGTTGGCTTCGTGGACATGCGCGGTCACGGAGCGTATATTGTAGTGCTTCACAATCTCGGATACTTGGGATTTCCCCTTGGAATCAGGCGGCGATGCAAATATCAACGAGTTCAATAGTGAAGCAGCCACGCCATGGCCCCGGTAAGGAGACAGCAGATGCAGCGTTTGAATATAGAGGTTGGTCGCGACACGGCCTTGAACCTCTCGGTCTGGATCTTGTTTCTCCAGGCGACACCGAATACCCCCAATCACTTTATCTGATCCAGACGTGGCGCTGGGGTTGGGCGCAGCAGCAACCGGGTGGTCATGGTAAATCGCGACGCGTGACAGGGACGCGACAACGGGATCTGTGATGGTGTTCGTGTAGAACGAGTTTGGGTAGCGAATAGGCAGCAGCAAGCCCGTAATTCTCGTTAAAGAAGGGATATGAGCGGTGCGAATCGTGTCTATTGTAATATGCGGATGAGGAGTCGCATAGTGCGCGGAGAGATCTCCCGGGTAAGGCGTAAACGGCTCCTGGGAGGCATTCGTGGCCCGTCGAGGGCTCGCGACAGCAGAGCGCGGTGGCTGGGGCGGCAGCGGGTGAATAGGCGGCTGAGCCTGTCGGACTGGAGGAGGAGAGACAGGCTGATTTGAGGACCGCGCTGGGCTTTTGGCAAAGAATTGGTAGGCCATTTGGAGGGGGGCTCTCGAGGGACAGGAACAGAAGATGAGAGAGGGCGAATGCGGAGATGCGATAAGATAAGCCCCGGGTGAGAACAACCTGCCAGCCTCATCGTTGGCTGTCCGCCTCATCTCCTTCCCTCCGACAGCTGGATCAGCCAGTAGGCTCTTCAATCGGTGAGTTGCTTGCTTTTGTCTGTCTTGAATTGTTCCGGCCCAGGGAAGGTTACTTTCTCTGCCTTGATCCATCCTGGCCCGGCCCCTGATCGGCCCAGTCGCGGCACACCGCGAGGCCCTTTCAACCTCAGCTAACCGGGCCTTCGAGGCACTAGGGTATTACATCCAACGCCGTTCTTTTCGCCTGCTCGTTTCCTTCCCCGGTCTTCTCTACTTATGCTTGATACCCCGCGATATCTCGGACCGACTCCGACCTCACTACTTCGATTAGCATCTCCTGCATAGATTTCCGGCGCATGGAGAACTAGACCCGTGACCCGCGGCGTGAAAAGGGTTCCGAACTGTGTCGCCGGCAGGTACAGCTCTCAGTCTTCGGTGATTCAGGAACGGATACAAATCGAGGTTTGAAACCTCCGGACAACTCCCACAATGGCCGACTCCAACACTGCGAGCCGCAGGCCGACCTATCCTGCCGGAACAATCGCTAAAGTGGTATGTGACCGGCTGCCATACTCTGCAGGGTCTCAAAGCAGGAACTCTAACCCAATAATGCAATCTAGTCAACCGACATCTTGAATGAGACCTTCCACAATATCATCCATGACCTCGTCGCCAAGGTCCACCGCGAGGAAAAGGTGGCGCGCATGCGCTCCGCGGTGGTCGTCGCTCGCCAGAAAGCGGAGGCAGAGGCAACCGTCCTGGATGAGACTCCCAGCAAGTCGGTACCAGCCGATGTAAAAACAAAAGAAGTTGTGATCGATGCGGCCAAGCTGGCAAACACACACCTCGAGACCGATGCTGCGACATTCGACCGCGGCAAAGTCTACTTGAAGGGGAACCCCATGCATACCATCAAGGAAATTATCTGCCCGGACTGCCGTCTCCCGCGCCTCTCATATCCTCCAGTCGGTGCAGGCTACCGACCTCCTCCGGATCCGAACGCCGAATACTGCCAGAACGGACCATTGATCACCCTGCCCGGCCACGATGTTCACGGGAAAATGTTTGCCGTGATGCCGAACCCGAAGAAGAAAAAGTCTGACAAGGACAGCACTATCCCGGAAGTCCCGACCAGCAAGTGTCCCATCTGTCCGCGCTATTTCGTCATGAACCGAGTAGCCCAGCACCTGGACCGCTGCATGAACATCTCTGGCCGTGGCAGCAGTACTCGTAACAAGACACCCACCGACAGCGGCGCCAGTGGTGCCAGCAGCCCGACCTCATCGGCTCCCAAACGTCCACATGAAGACGATGAGGGCAGTCCTAGCCCGACCAAAAAGAAGAAGCTGAACGTGTCCAAGAAGGCTTCAAGCACGAAGCCCGGGCCAAGCAAGCTCAAGAACTCATTTACGGTGGAAGATAATGACGACGATGTCAAGAGCGAAAATGCAGACTAAAGAGGGGGCCTATGGAAGGCACTTCTCTCCCAGAGACTCTTCGCCCTTCCCTCCTCAGGGCTCTACGTTTTCCATCCGACTTGCTTTTTTTACCTTTCAGGGTGTCACCGGCGTTTGACTGATTTCATGGTTTCAATGTGCTTATGGCGTCTCTGGGTCTGGTCTGACCTACACAAGAATTTGCATAGATGACGATGATGATGAGGGTGGGATAGGCTTGTACATTACTTCATACCATACACTAGGCCATGGCACGGCATTTCTTTCTGTTTTAATGTGATCATTCACCGAGAGTTTTTGGCGCTGACGATAGTGCAAAAGTACGCAGTGTCGTGTATTTCAGACCGTCCACTAGTATGCCTTTAGCGAAGTTGGCCATTCCGCATTCATGGATATCGAGTCTTCCTCAGAATAACAATACGCCTTCCAGAATGTCTAAAAAAGAGAAATCCTGCACCTGGAACCCTACAGTAGGGTTGAACTCTACTGAAAATATTTTCACTCTCTATAACGATGGGGCTTAATGTGTTAATGCTTTCGTATCTATTCGACCTGCTACGTCGGCAGTCTATTTCAATATACTGAAGAACGAACTCATCTGTACGTAGCACTCATACTATCAGCCTCATAGTGCTGGATTAAAGTAACGAAATATGCCCATTACCCTTCCCTGAACTGAAAAAAATATTGAATTATCTATCTTGTGCGTGTGGGTGTTGTGCGGAACGAGGAACGAGGAACGAGGCTCGACAACGAGTTGGTCTCGGGCCCGGGCCATTGCAGTGACGAGTATGGGTGTTATCGAATAGTACAGGGAGTCAAGGTGAGGGATAGGGACTTTGAGTGTCGCCATGCGCCTGCCAGCATTCGAATTTCAAAAGCATACGAGGAGAGGTTGAAGATGGCCCTAGCTCTTGGGAATCGGGATTGATGGTAGGAATGGGCCTATCTATCTAGAGAGTCGTGAAAGTGACAGAAACATGATATGTCTGATCTTGATAGCATCTCTCTTTCTATATCTTCTATCTCGTGGACCTTGCTTTTCCTGGCGCTGGTTTGCTTTAAGCCCTCTACTTGTATGATTCTGTCGGGGTATAGATCGGGTATAGTTCAGATGTGGGGAGCTCCACAAGACAAATCGCCACTTCCGCTGCTTGACCTCGACCAACGTTGTTTTTCCATGCTTCTCACCAATTTCACAACGCCATAACCATGCCGGACCTCTCAGCCTGGGCCCTTCCTCGGCTCAGCCAGCTGATCCCGCTGGATGAAGAGTCGCTGAAGCAAATTGTCGACTATTCAGCCTCCCTCTCTAAAGACGCCTGCGCCGAACACCTGAAAAACCTCCTCGGCGACTCCCCCGCGGCCCTCGAATTCATCACCTCCTTCAACGCGCGTCGCAATGACGGACCCGCTGCAGCATCCTCTGCTCAGAGCTATCATTCAGCAGCTACGAATACGCAAGACCGACCGAAAGGGAAAAGCAAAAAGGAGAAGAAGCCGTTGCACAGTGCTGGTCCCCCACGCCGCCCTGAGAACTATGGCGATGTGGGCGGAGGCTACATGAAGTCCCAGCAGGGAGAGGATTATATGTCTGCCAGCAAACCTACGGCACATTCATCTGTGCTTTCTGCGCCTGGATCCTCTGCCTCTTCTCGTGCCCATTCACCAAAACCCGCGGCCCCCTCGAAACCGCCTCCCTCTGCCTCGGGCCCCGTCCTGTCGGATATGCTACCAAATGTGCGATCGAAAACAAGCAAGCCGAGTCGACATGGAGGAGTTGGCGGTAATTCAGGAAGCCCCTCGAAATCAGGCGGATCCCTTACCACCAACAATATCTCCGATCTAACGGCCGCAATTGCCATGCTAGAAGTTTCCACTAACCCAACCCTGGGCTCAGAGAAGCGCAAATGCAACTGCTATGCTACGATTCACCCATTATTCGATCCTGCCCCGAATTGTGTTAATTGCGGCAAAATTATCTGTTCGCTGGAAGGTCTCCAACCCTGCTCATTCTGTGGGACATCCCTTCTCTCTGCGGAGGAGATCCAGAGTATGATCAAGGAATTGCGTGCGGAGCGCGGGCAAGAAAAAATGCGCGCTCATAATGAAAGTGTCCACCACGAGGGCGGTCCAAGACCGACGGGCTCTGGACCCGCCACACCAAGCAAGTTGGATGCGGCGAGGGCTCACCGGGACAAGCTTCTCCAGTTCCAAGCCCAGAATGCCCGTCGAACCAAGGTTGTGGACGAGGCTGCCGACTTTGAGACACCAAATGTGGCCTCAACCCTATGGATGAGTCCCGCGCAGCGAGCGCTCGCCTTGAAAAAGCAGCAGCGCATCCAAAGAGAAATAGAGGAGAAGGCTCGCCCGGAATGGGAGAAGAAAAAGACCGTCATGAGCCTTGATATCAAGGGCGGCAAAGTTCGACGGGTATACCAAACCGCGGCTGTCGAATCTACTCCGGCAGCTAGTGAGCCAGAGCCCGACGATGCTGCCGAGCCCGAGGAAGCATCGTCGAAAGGACACGCGTTTAGTCACAATCCCCTGCTTGCAGCGGGAGGGCTGATGCGTCCAGTCTGGCGCGCTCCCGAAGGCAAAAGTACCGAACCTGCGGATCGGGCAGAACGGAAGCAAACGTGGCGTCGTGTGCAGGATGACAATGACGATAACGAGCAATGGATTCTGGATGGTGGGTTGCATGGACACGACGAGACGGTTTGATCCGATACGTCGAGATTGACAACCTGCCCAGTTCATTTCCTGCTGATTTGTGGGCGAGCGTTTCACGAGTGGACATTCTGAATAAGCACTACTGGCCCCAATCCTGATTCTGCATTCGTCAATCGTGTTGATGCAGGATGACCCCAATTCGTCCTCCCATTTGGAGTCTCCTGCCTGCCGACTTGTCCTTTGGCCAATCCATTCCCCAATTTCGGCTTGTTCGATCGAGAGAACCCCCGCCCTCTCCTTCTCCATCAGTTACCCATTTGAGGCAGTTGCACCTGCTCCTCCCCTCAGTCGCGATCCACTGTGGAGCGGATAAAAGACGAGATATGAAAGATATCGGGTACCGGCGGCTATGTCCCCAAGAAGAAGAAGAAGCCCTTCTAGATCCACCGAGGGACAGGTGGATTACTTACCAGAGGGGAAGGTTCTTGGCTGTTTGCCTGCAATGCAAAAGCATACCACCTATAAACCAGAGCAGGGCAACTAGAACCTAAAATCCATAGGCTATAGAGAACACATATGACCGCAACATGAGCAACTTTTCCCAAATGCCGAATAGTCATTCTCCATGAGCTCTGTGCCCTCGTGTTGCTTTCATTCTCCCCCACAACTCCCAAATAAGCATAACTCGGCCGCGTCTCCAAGAATTTGCCCCGTGGGGGACCCTCCCACTTCCAGCTTCTACACAAAATCACCAGAATTATCCGTAACTAGCTCACTGTCCCCCCTTATTCGGGGAGACGGTGATTCCCGGTCTAAACGAACTTTCTCCCCAAACGCACTTTTCCCCGCCATTTTCAACTATTTTACCATACTCCACTCTACCACGATAAGAATTTATTAATATAAAGCTATATATAGGATATTTAGTATCGAGATATTAGATCGTAGTAGTTTAAATACTTATACTAAGCTTAGTACGTAAGAAATTGTAGTGATTAAATATAATATATTTAGAATAATAGAGTAGTAGATAATTCTATATTCTAGAAGAAAATAATATTAGGATCTTATAAAATATATAAATACTTACGTAGTATGATATTCTACTGTATATAAAATTTTTTAGTACGGCCGTATACTATCTATTTTTAACCCTTGATTTCTTACGTAGTATTCCTTCTCTAAATATTTTAACTACTAAAGATTCGTATAGATAGACTCAATATCCTATATATAACTTTATATTAATAAATCATCATCGTGGTAGAGTATAGGAGGGTAAAATAGGTGAAATGGAAGGAGTTTGGACTGGGGATTACCGTCTCCCCGAATAGGGGACACAGTGAGCTAGTTCCGGATAGACATCTTCTCTCTCATCATCATCTCAACAAGGAAACACAAGAACTGCAAATACCCGGCCGTAGCCGCCACTCCCTACAGTCGCATCCGATTGAACGAGAGCGAGTCTTACTGATACAAGTAACCCGCGCTTATGGTGGATCTCTCGTCATCAATCAGCGGGTTCCAGCTCACACGTACCCAAAAAAGTTCACACGGACCCAAAAAATTTCTGACTAATTTTGGGTACCCATGAGGTACCCGACCTCACACGTACCCAAACTATTTTGGGTCCTGATGAGCTCTTATACTTACTTTTATGCATATGATTAATAATTATGTAGGGGTTCAACTTTAGTTGAACCCCTACCTCACTAAAATATACTATCACTCTATACATCTCTTTACAACTCTATATAGAAGATTATACTATACTCTTAAAGACTCTATCTATTTTTTATTCATAATAATATAAAAGAGGTAGTCTTTCTTCTAGTAAATTACACGTGTTGAAAGAAAAATATAGTTTGTTTGGGGTCATGAATCAAAAGTGTCAACAAAGAAATGAGAGATATATCTTCAACACAAACACAACACCATTTTCTTCTTCTTCTTCCCTCACCACCCACTTTGTTTACCAAAGGTCAGAACACCTGTTTACTCTACTCCCTGACGCGTTTCTCCATATGTTTTGCATATGCTGAACACTTCCAGCTCATCAACATGTCGAATCTTGGACTCTTCCCTGGCCTGGGTCCAACCCGGGCTGAATTTGACAACACCACAGTCTTAAACGCGACCAACCCCGACCCTCTCCTGGGATATGCACATGGTATGTTTCCCAGATGCATATGCTGTTGATATGTTGACCATATGTAGGGCCCATTCCAGACAACAATCGTGGCTGGAAGCCAGCTGCGTATACGGCAGCTCTAGCTGCAGGCGCACGCCACTACGACATCAAGGCAGCTGATATCGCGGCGACCCCGCCTCCAAATCCGGCCGAGGTTCTCAACAAAGAGAACATAGGAGTGTACGTGGTGTCTGAATATACTGAGGGCATGGTTATCGTATGCTGACACTGAGAGGAACAGCTGTGATATTGTCGTCAACCCTCCGTCCCAAATGTGCGGTCTAGTCTTCTCAGAGGGACCTGCTCTGCGTCGACACATCCGCAATGAACATTCCGGAGCTGGCAAGTGTCTATTCGTTGGATATGTTGAACATATGCTAACAATATGACTACGATATAGTCGTCAACCCCAGCCGGCGAGCAAAGACCCAGCTGGAGATTATTGCGGGCCAAAACGCCATCAAGCGTTGGGTCCTGCAGGGTGGCTGGCGGGATGCTAGCTACCTCCATGAGCCTGGACGCGGCCCTGACAATGGATGGATTGGACACTGGGCCTCCGCTCTGGAGCGAATTGCGTAAGTACTCTGGGTACTCTACGTTTTGCACAAGATTGATATACTTGTTACATATGACTCTCATATGTTTAGCGTATGCTAACAATCCGTATAGAGCTACCGATGCACAGTTTGCCGCACAATACGGCACTCGTTTCCACCGCTGGCAGGCCCCAGCAACCCCGAGTTCTGGTCATCGCAGCCGCCGGGTAAGTCCCCTTTTTTAAGAAATGATATGTTAAGCATATGCTAATAGTATGTAGCGTGGACCTGGCGTCCCTGGGAATCCTATTCCCTTCGCGGGTTTTGGCCCCACTGCCGGTAATGGAGACAATAGTGATGGAGGAGGTGGCCCACCTGCTCCCCATATGCAAGACTCGGAGGAGGAGGAGGAGGTAGAGGAGGAGGAGGTAGAGGAGGAGGAGGTAGAGGAGGAGGAGGTAGAGGAGGAGGAGGAGGAGGAGGAGGAGGAGGAGGAGGAGGAGGAGGAGGAGGAGGAGGAGGAGGTAGAGGTAGAGGTAGAGGTAGAGGACTCATCCTCTGATGCTTTTGAGTCCCTTTAGTTAGGCGTAGGTCTCTTTGTATGAATTTTCTGTTATTTGTCTATACGGAACATATGTTAAACTTATGCTCAAAGTAAATTCAAGATATTCTTAACTTATACCAAAGATTCGCCTGACTCTATACTCCGTAATAATTCCTCCTTCTTCCTTCGAAGGGCTAAGATCCTTTGCTTTCTCTCAAGTTCCGCAACTTCTTGCTGTAGCCGTGCCTCTTCATCATCGAATCCCTGAGTATAGCCTAACTGCTGAGAAATACTATCATGCGGCGCTATTCTAGACGATCCGTCAAGAACTGAACTACCCTGAGGGGTAGATAGCGGTGCAGATATAGATTGACCATATACTGAGCTTATGTCAGTTATCTCTGAAGTAGATATCGAAACTATGTCCGAAATATCTGGAAGCCCAGGTGGTTGCATCGTCGGGTTAAGGTCATCGTAAGGATTGATCACGTTCCAGGGCTGGTATGGTTTATTGATACGACGGTTGGCAGATTTTTTGTAGCGCTTGTCTGATATAAGGTTAGTATATGTGTAACATATGTTGAACATATGGAACAAACCCTTCTTGCGGAACTTGTTTGGCAATACGATACACAGGGTTTTGAGATCGCCAAGTTGGGAAGAGACCTAGCTCTTCTGCAAGTTTATTCTTTTGGATCATCTCTTGTACATGTTTTTTGCATCTGTAATAAAGAGATTAGTAATATGCTCTATACATGATAAATCGGGTAATATACCGGAGAATTGCTGTTAACAAAGCTTGCTTTCGGCCTACTGCCTCGTTATCGTGAAAGTGACTACTTTCACTAATTCCAGTATGATGTGATGCATTCGTCCACCATTCAATAGGAATCTTAGATGCCTCTGGGGTTATTCCAGCAAGAATCCAATCAACCTTCTTATTCTGAAACCATTTTTCGGTCTCTGGCCACTTTTCTGCAACTTCATCCATAATTCGAATAACCTCTGCCTTTGAATTTGCATTCCAGATCATATCAATAGACGTAGTAGCTTCGTGACCAGGAAACCTTTTCCGAAAGGCTCGCTTAACGTGCGTTTGGCATAGGATCAATATATTTTGCAGATGTTCTGACCATGTCCAACGAGGATCTAGGCCAGCAAGATAATCTCCAAGCCCTAAATGAAAATAGAAAGTGAGTATAATTCAGGCATATGTTAAGCATATGGGAAGCGTACCAGGTGCTTGCTTCTTACACATGTCAACAGTAACCGTCCGAATTCCCTCACAAGAATCATCCCTTCCAAGCTGATACGCCCATCTAATTGGTTTTCGTCCAACATCCCCAAGAATCTTGAAGATTTTCTCAAAAAGAACCCGATAAGCTACTCGAGTTTCGAGATTCATGAAAGCATAGACATAGGTATTTAACCCTGAGAGTCAGCATATGGTTAGCATATGTTTAGCATATATAGAACACCAGAAAATCTTACTCTTTACCTGTTCATTCCACCCTGAAATTGTGAAAAGCTTGGTTGCTCCCTGAACCATCTTGAAAGCAAGATCCATTTCCAGATGTCGTACACTCTGAAAAAGCTTAGCTTGTTCGTATGTGCAGCATATGATCAGATAATGCTCCCGATTCTCGTCAAAGAAATAGACTTCACGAATCCATTGATCATCCACGTGTTTAGTTAGATCAAACTGGTATTCACGCCATACCCCAGCAAGATTCGTCCCTTCTGGATAATATAGTAGTCTCTGCTTATGAATCAAAGCAGTTACTCTATCCTCAATGTGTAAGCTCTTGTGGATATATCGAAGCGCAGAATCACCATGTTGACGTATAATCTTCGCAAAAGTAGGTGAGACCATCAATTTACGTGCAGTTAATCCTAGGATATCCTGCGTGTTGATTGCGTCAATGATTTCTTGACCAATATCATGTGGTAGCTTTGTAGGCGGTGGCGGCGCATGTGAATGAGATCCTCGACAAACGAGAAGGAAAAAAGGAAAACGATCCCATACGCAGGGGATATAAAGGTCAATCTTCACAGAGCAAACACTATATATCAGCTGACCAACACCATCTGCATGAATTGAGTCTAGGACAGGGTTAGCATATGTTCAGCATATCCAGAGCATATCTATGTAAAACATACCACAGTGGCGACGTCTAGCTGAACGATGCTCCACGAAGTAACAGTTCTTGGTTCCATATCCAGTATCTCGTAAGCCATCCTTATCGCAAAGAAGCTTTAGAAACGCGGTGTCTATCCTTGCAGCACTTCGTGGAACGTGCTGACAGTAGTGCCAACGCTGGGATCCGACCTGCGCGTTCGGACACCCAATAAAGGTGAACTACTTATAGTTAACAAATATTTAGTACATGATAATAATATGCACTTACTCCATCTCGAAGCCACACTGTTGGCTTTTGACCTCTGCATGTCCGCTCACTAGGTGCATAAATACATGGCCCTTCTATATCCCACGTCTTGAGAAATCCGAAGTAAAATCTATCTTAAGCGTAAGCTTAATAGAGGTTAAAGCTAGGGAGGGATATATCTTACTCTCTAGTTCGCTCCTGGATTTCCTGCGCAATAGTGTGATACACAGGCTTTGCAGCAAGAGCCTGAAGTTCGCGGAAAAGTGTTGGTTTAACACGGTTATAGCTTTCAGACGGGGTAATAAGATCAGGATGAGCTTGGTGGCAATGTTGAATCCCTGTACATTGAAAGGATCGATGCCATGATCTTGATTCTTTGTCTTTAGAGTCTTTCTGGAGGAGTTTCGTGAAGATTTTCTTGGCCGATTTGAGTTGTTTAATCGAGAATTGAACCTAGGATAATTAGTTATCATATATGCTAAGCATATGCTAGACATATGCTAGGATTATATCGAACATACCGACGACATAAGCTGTGAAGTAGCTTGGTTGACAGCAGTAACGGTGTCTTCCACATTTTCAAGTGGATTTTTGGAGGCATGAATGATATGTAAAATACCATTCTTGTCTGTATCAGGATACTCTGGGAGGATAAGGTGCTCCTGAACTTCGTAGGCGATCACAGCATCTCTAGAGCTAATGCTTACTTGGGTCCCGTCTGTTTCTATACCTGTTTGGTTTCGTTCCGTAAAAGGTGTAGAACATAGAGAGCTAGTATTTTCCTCATTATCCTCACAAGAATCGACATCAGATAACTCATATGTATTAGTGCAATCTTGGTACACTGAAGTTTCAGAGGCCGATCGTTGTCGCTGATATAAAATATAAGATTTATGTATGCTCTTATTTATAAAACGATCACTCACAGATGGAAGATTATAAAGAATTTGATTAATCTCTAATGCAGTACTAGTAGTAGATTGCGTAGAGATAAATATGTCAGAATCGGAATCCTCGAATAGCGATGGCGAGAGTAAAGACGCCGACATCTTGTGGAATTCGATACTTGGTAACAATCTTGAAAAGGGGTAAAATAAGGTGTTTAAAAAATTTTCTGCATTAAAAAATATTATATAATCTAGAGGTTTGGGTACGTGCGAGGTCGGGTACCTCATGGGTACCCAAAATTAGTCAGAATTTTTTGGGTCCGTGTGAACTTTTTTTGGGTACGCGTGAGCTGGGTGCCCATCAATCAGCCGTCCTGCGGCTGGGCGCGGGTACCCTCGGTGGAAACGCATTTAGGAATGTCGGAAAGTATATAACCCAATCCTGCTGGGAATTGAAGCCAGAAATGCTAAAAGGAAAGAGAGAGATCTCTAACTTTCGACTGGATGCTGTGACTGCTAACGATTCCTACGATGTTCGTTGAAACCGCGCTGAAGCAAATGACCCTGCAGAGGGTGGCTGTGGATATACTCGGCGTAGTTGGTGTGCTGGTAGGTCTTTGATTCTCCCTAGAAATAAAGAAGCTATCTTTTGATGAATCATCACTAACAATGGGCGCATAGACCATCGCCTACGTCCTCTACAACCGCCTCGTCCACCCACTCCGTCGTATCCCAGGTCCCTTCTGGGCCTCCGTGACACCATGGGCGCAACTCTACCACGGCCTCAAAGGTGATCGCCATCTGTGGCTGCACCGACTCCACCAGCAGTATGGCACGCACGTCCGCGTCGCCCCGAACTTTGTCTCCGTCAACACCGACCGTGGTCTACACGATATTTACGGCCATGGCAAGAAACTCCAAAAAGCCGATTTCTACAACGCGTTCACCGCCATCAAGGGCGTGTATAACACGCACAATGCGATTGATAAGACTATTCACGGGCGCAAGAGACGTGTTCTCAGCCAGGCCTTCTCGGAGAGTGCGCTCAAGGGCATGGAGGATGTGATGCTGCTGCATGTGCGACAGCTCTGCGCCGCGCTGGCGGGCGCGGATGGCAATGAGGGTGGTGAGAGCAAGGGTGTGGTCCGGAACATGGCCAATTGGTTCAGTTATCTCTCCTACGATGTGATGGGCGAGCTCTGCTTTGGAAAGAGCTTCGACATGCTCGTCACCGAGGGTCGCAGACATATGATTGGGTTGGTCGATCGTGCTGCGAATCGACACTATGTTGTAAGTTTAGACCTGGGCAGGACCACGATCTGCGTTTTAGGCGATTCCTAACTCATAACTGCAGTGTGGACTTTGGATGCCTTTGGACCGCTGGCACCTCGACCAGATCTTCATTCGCAAGCTTACACAGGACCGCTGGAACTTCATCATGAACTCCCGCGTGGAAGCGAACAAGCGGGCCCAGGAGCGTGCCCAGGCTGGTCGTGAGGCCAAGAAGGATTTCTTCTACTACCTGTTGAACGCAAAGGACCCCGAGACTGGCAAGGGTCTCACCACGCCCGAGCTGTGGGGAGAAGCCAACGTCCTCATGATCGCTGGTAGTGACACAACCTCGACCACTCTAGCCGCCACGCTGTTCTACCTGGTCCGCTCTCCGGAAACCCTGGCCAAACTCACCAAGGAAGTCCGCAGCGCCTTCTCTGCCGTCGAGGACATTGTCAGCGGTAGCCACCTTAATGAACTGGTCTTCCTCAAGGCTTGCATCGACGAGGCTCTCCGTCTTGCTCCCGCCGTGCCAGGCGCACCGCCCCGCGAAGTCATGCAAGGCGGCGCCGTCGTGGATGGAGTCTTCCTCCCCGCAGGCACCGACTGCGGCACACCGACCTACTCCATCCACCGACAGGCGCAGTACTACCGCGAACCAGAGACCTATATCCCTGAGCGCTGGATCGAAGGCGCAACCTGCAAAGCCTCCGGCGCCTCTTGGACGAGCACGAAGGAGGATGTCGAGACCGCGCGTCGGGCATTCTGCCCATTTAGCATTGGCCCACGTGGATGCATTGGCAAGAGCATGGCTTTCATGGAGATGCGTCTCACGCTAGCCCGACTGATCTTCCTCTTTGATATGTCGCTGGCTGATCGCCAGGGCGAGGATGCGAATGGTCACTTGGCGTTGGTAGACCACTTTACCAGCGCAAAGAATGGGCCTAACGTGGAGTTTCAAAAAGTGTTGCCAGTGAAATAAAATGGGGGATCCCCACAGATGTTATACAAGATGCAAGCAAATTAGCAAATGAGCCATAATGACATAGAATGAGAATATGTTCTTTCTTTCTCAACCTCAGACTAAAAACAGCTGAGAGTCAAATGTAAAGTCGAAGTATGCGATCGTAAGCAGTGTCGACTCGACAGGACACGGTTGCGCGCGCGTTCTTGGCAATTATCCTCCTTAGCGCCCCTAAAAACGCCCCCTCAAAACAAGCCCCAAAGAGCACCAGTGGAATCGTGGATACATATCAAGAATTGTTGAGGAGACCTCGCAAAGCTCAATTCAGCACTTCTGGCCCCCATGCCGCGAGTATGCCCTCCGCCCTAATTGTGACGTTCGCGCAATCGACCGTCCTCAATGCCATCTCCAACCTCCTGGCGCAGCTAATCAACCAGCGCAAAAACACCGTAAGCAGAGAACCCCTTGCAAGAAGACTACCAAAACATAAAGAACAAACCAGGACCTGAGATGACTATCAAGATCTAACAATCTACTACAGACCCCATTCAAACTCAACACCCTCGCTCTGCTCCAATTCATCACCTATGGCATCCTAATCGTGCCAATCAATTTCTACTGGCAACGCGCCCTAGAAGCGCGCTACCCAGGCTTCCCCTCCCGCGCCGAGATATCCAATCTCCTCCGCTCCTGGCGCTCACTCTTCTCCCTCTCTGCACTCCGGGCATTCTTCTTTTCTGCAATTTCATCCGAGGCCTCGCCGCGGCTTGGTGGTGATGCGGCGCTGCCTCGGCATCGCGAAAAGGAGGAGGAGAAGGAGAAGGAGGCGGAGGGTCGGTGGGTGCCTAGGGCGCAGCGGTCCGGATTGCATAGCTTTGTGATGAAGTTTTTGTTTGATCTGACTGTGGCGGGGGCGATGAACATTGTGCTTTTTGTGGTGTTGATTAATTTTTTGAAGGGAGAGAGTCTTGGGAAGGTGTGGGAGTTGGTTCTTGTGGTTTGTCTACCTCCCTCCTTTCTTTTTCCTGATAGTCTCTATATCGTGTTTATTTACTGTGATGAGATCTGTGGAGCAGTGCTTATTGATCTTTCTAGGATTTCCGTCCCATTATGATTGCCCGACTAAAGTATCGCCCCGTGGTTTCAACCTTGATGTACACGGTCATCCCTGTCGACCGGCGAGTCGTCTTTGGCAGCGCCTGTGGGGTGATCTGGGGTGTTTATCTCAGTTTGTATGCGGTGGTTTAGCTGGCTGGTGTTTTCTTTCTTTTCTTTCTCTACTCATACACTTATATTCTGGCGCCTCCTTTTCAATCTATCATAATACAGCGGGCATAGACCAAGCATTTTTTGCATGACCACACTGTTCAAATACTACTAATTGTCAATTGACTCAACCAAAACATCACTTCCAAAGTTGCTCATTAGATTGTATTACTTAAAAGTACCGAGGTATATAGAGCCATGCTGAACAACACTGTCCGAGCTGATGATCACGCAGACCCCTCTGCCCATCCGCAGATAGTAGCAAACAATATGCAAGAAGACCGAATAGGAGATATAAGACGAGGATATAGAAATGAATCAAGGGAGACTTTTCTTGTATAGCACCCTGGAAACACCCCTACCTCAAACCGCAGCCATTTCAATCTTCTTCCCCTTGACGGAGAGCCACTCGACAAAGATAGGTCCAATAAGTGACAAAGCACCCATGGCAACAGCCACATAGAAAGTCTGCGTGATAGCACCATTGTACGCAACTAAGACACGCTCCAAAACGGGACCAGAAACGACAGTGCGCAGCATCGTGGCGCCAGCCGCCACGAGCTCCGCCGCGTTGGCAGTTGGCGCATCCGCACGCAGATTCGCGAATAGCTGGTTTTGGAAGATGTTCTGGGCGACGGAGATAAAGATCGAGCCACCGAGGGTTTGGGCGAACATCACGATGGCGGTGCCGCTGGGGACATCACTAGGCTTGAGGGCTGTCTGAGCAACGATCATGGGTTGCTGCATGCCCAGGCCAAGGCCGATACCGAATAGGGCCTGGTAGCCGATCCACTTGGGGTGACCTGAGTTGACTTCGAGGGTGGAAAGCAGACCAGCACCAATGGTCATGATGATGGAGGAGGCGATCATGAAAGGAGTGTAGTAGCCACATGCCGTGACGAGACCACCAGCCAGAATGGAAACGAGTACCACGGAGATGATCATGGGTAGGTTCATGATACCCGACTTCACGGCTGAAGCGCCCTTGATAGCCTGGAACCAAATGGGGAGCTAGGTTCCTGTTAGCATCTGACTGAGATATGACCTGGGGGAGAGGGGCCAACTCACATAGTAGACTAGAACAAAGTAAGCCGCACCAATGGCCAGGGCATACCAAGCCGAACCCCAGACGTTACGGTTCTTGATCAGTCTTGGAGGTACAGTAGCACGTTCCTGACCCCACCACTGCACGCCAATGAAAATGATAATCAAGACACCGAAGACAACAAACAGCGCGATGATACGTCCATCGCTCCAGGGGTACTTGGTACCACCCCACTGCAGCGCGAGCAGCAAGCTGATGATAGCAGGGAGGAAGAAGAATGAGCCGAGCAGATCGATTTCGGCTAGCTGTTCCTTCCATCCCTTCGCGTCCTTGAGAGATTTGGAGGCCTTGAAGAAGAAGAGGATAAAGAAGAATGTGACGGCACCGATAGGTAGATTGATGTAGAAGCACCAGCGCCAGGTGAGTCTGTCGGTGAAGGCTCCTCCCATGCTGATAAAGTTAGCGAGGGTCTCAGTGAAAAATTAAAGAAAGAGACGTACAGCGGACCCGCAACACTAGCAATTCCAAACATCGAACCCACAAGACCCGTATACATAGGCCTCTTAACCAGCGGGACACTCTGAGTGATGATCAAAATCGAGCCCGAGAACAAGCCCGCAGCACCGAGACCAGCGATGGCACGACCACAAATAAGACCGACCGAGTTGGGCGTGACGGCACAAACTAGCGAACCAATCTCGAAGATTGAGAGAGCGAGTAGGTAGATCCATTTGATGGTGTAGAAGGTGTAGAATTTGCCGAACATCAAGGTGACGGAGCAGGTGGTGAGCAAGTAGGCACTTCCATACCAACCAACATCGTCGAGGGAGTTAAATTGATCGGTGATTTTCGGGATGGCTGTTGCGATGATTGTATTGTCCTACACAAGCAATTTCAATGATTGTAAGCGACTGTAAAGCTATCGGGTTCCAGACTGGCAAGGGGTGACATACCAATGCCACGCAGAACACACAAAGACACAACGCAATGGTAATGAGGAGAAGTCTGAAGGCCGTGGGGTATTCTGGCTCGGGCTCATTGGCTTTATTCTCTGCATCGTCATCACTGGAATTTTTATCCTCGTCCCTGGCGGCTTCTTTCTCGGTATCGTTCTTCACAACAGGCTCTTTGTTCGAGTCTTCATTCGGAGCCACCTCTGAGGCGTGATTTTCTCCAGTCATGCCTTTGTTGGTATCCTCGGGCGCAGTCGAATCCCGAATTGGCTCATCAACGAGGGTGCTCTCTTTCTCGCTGGGTGGCTTCGAAGACTTGTCTTTCTGGGACATGGCATCTGTATCGGATGACAATGCATTATGAGTCGCGAGCGGAGGGGAGGTAGAGGTCACGACAGTACTCTTATTCTGGTCCGCAGGCGTCTCCGTGCCCATCTCTTTAGGCGAACTGGAAGGATTGAAGAATGTAGACATTATGGGCAAGTTTGCACGGAGTTTGGAGAACATCGCCCAACAAACTGGGTATTAGGGTATAATATTGCAAGGGGATACGAAGAGGGGGAAAAGAAAAGAAAGGAATTGAACACGGACAACTGGCAATTGGGCAGAGGCGACTAATAAACCCAATCCATGCAGGCGGGCAGTCAGCACAAGATTGGCATTGACATTGCAACTGGCCCTTCGTACAGGTCTCATCATAGACCAGGGCGACCTTGCTGATGCAGTCAGCGTGTGTGGACTTGGCCAAGGGAAATTGGAGCACAGGAGAGCAGGACGGGGATCAAGGCAGAATCAGGATCAGAGCCAGGACGACTCCTCCGGTCGCACTGTCAACTATTGAATCTTTATTTCCATGTGGTACGTGGAAACTGGAAACATTCCGGGGTCATGGCGCGTGCATGAACTGGAGGGATACCTAAATGGGGTGAATTGAGCGGTCTGTAGCCAGTATATTTTTGTACTGCACGCTGTGTACAAGTGTACATATTAGGCAGTTCTCTGCATCTTGAAAACATTTCTTCACGTTTCTAACTTCGTATTAGTCAAGGCACTAGCAAGTGGATTACCGTGTCGATCATGCAGCCCCCATCTGGCTTATTAAATTGTCAGCGAAAGGTGAAACTGCGTCTCAGCCGCAGACTGGGCCGAGGAGACCATGCAAGGATCACGGAGCTAGAGGTAGCGGGTCTGGCCTGGCGGCCTTGGGGGCCCCACTTGGCAAGCACTGGAAAAAGCAGCGTCGTGCGTACACAATCAAATAGTGAGAGTCCCTTGCTCCAGCATGACGGTGAAGGCACCGTCATTGTTCATGTTCGAAGAAAAAGGGGTGCGAAGGAAAGGTGATAAGAGTGGAGGGACCGAGGAGATTCTCTTCTACAATATATCACAGACCATTAGGTGCCAATATACGGAGTATACGGAGTACTCCGTCCTACTTACCTCTTCGCTCTAGAGCTAAACATGGAAGCCAGGCCACGGGCTCCTGGGGCTAAACCCCACCAGAGCTTGTCGTAGTGCCTACTCTAAATATGAACATTAGACTCGAATCTTCCCAATGGGCCCGGATAATCCGATTCGGAGACGGAAACACCCAGTCCCCGACGGCTTCATATTCCAACACTCCCCGATCGGTTGGATAGCCTTGCCAGGATGGACCCGGGGGTGAATTCTGGAGAGCGGCACTGGAATTAAGGGAGTTAAGGGCATAAGCTAAGATCGTGGGCCTGATGCCCTGGAGCCTGAGGCACGAAATTCCTTAAACTGACAGCCCCCGGTCCAAAGAGGTTTAGCGCAGCCTGGGAGGCGGGCGGAGTTTGGAGTTAAGCTAGTTTGTATATCCTTTTGCCCGGAGAACTTCCCAGCGAGAATTATAGATGCATGTAGTAGTGTCTAGTTGCGATGTGCTTCATCTGTGTACTGATCTAGGAGTTCGTATTCCAGGGAGAAACGGTCTTTCCTCCAAAGGCATCTTGTAGTGTGCAGTGTTCAAATACGAGCCATTTATATCTATTGTCTGACATCAGCATTCAAGTAGACCCCCAAACTCAAAGGCATAGACAAGTAGAACAACATATGTAAACTTGACAAGATAGGACTTGTGGTCAATCAAATATGCTGACAAGTAACGCATCAGCCGCACGACAGTTATCCATGATGAATACGCGGTGAGCTAGCCGTGATATGGAGTTGTAAATCGGATCCGCCTCTTAATTCCGGATGACACCTTCTAAGATTGGTAACTTAGTTGGTCGAAGATGGTTGACGTAAGACCTCAATATAAATAGTAGAGGGGCAGAGAGGTTTGTGCTTGATATTCTAGGTATTCTTCTCAATTCAATCGATCGACCTGACTCCAGTCCTCTCGATCTCCTCCTCTTTCTAATCACAACCATATATACATCACACCTCAAATCCAAATATCCAACAAAATGGATGAAATCTTCAAAGCACCACCCGAGCCCGCGACCCTTCTCGGCCGCTATCGCATCCTCTCCTCTACGGCGGGCGTCCGCGTCTCCCCGCTCCAACTGGGCGCCATGTCCATCGGCGACGCCTGGTCGGCATACATGGGCAGCATGGACAAGGAGCAATCCTTCAAACTGCTGGACGCCTTCGTCGCTGCCGGTGGCAACTTCATCGACACCGCCAACAACTACCACAACGAGCAATCGGAGACCTGGATCGGCGAATGGATGACCGCCCGCAAGAACCGTGATCAAATCGTTCTGGCCACCAAGTACACCACCGACTATCGGACCTGGGAACTAGGCAAGGGCAATGCGCCCAATGCGGTGGGAAACCATAAGCGCAATATGTTTAACAGTCTGCGCGATTCGCTGCGGAAGTTGCAGACCGATTATATCGATGTGTTCTACGTGCACTGGTGGGATTACACTACCTCAGTCGAGGAGCTTATGGACTCGCTGCATATCCTCGTCGAGCAGGGCAAGGTCATGTACCTGGGTATCTCGAATTGTCCGGCATGGGTGGTATCTGCGGCGAACACGTATGCCCGCGCACATGGCAAGACGCCCTTCTCTGTGTACCAGGGCCGGTGGAATGTGATGCTCCGCGATCTCGAGCGGGAGATCCTGCCCATGGTGCGACACTTTGGTATGGCGCTGGCGCCGTGGGATGTCCTGGGTAGTGGACATTTCCAGACGGCCAAGCAGCTGGAGGAACGAAAGGCGAACGGCGAGGGTCTTCGCACATCGATGGGAACGGAGCAGACTGAGGGCGAGCGGCGCATGTCAGAGGCTCTTGCGACGGTTGCTGCGGAGCATGGCATCGAGTCGGTCACGGCCATCGCGTTGGCCTATGTGATGAGCAAAGCCCCTAATGTTTTCCCTCTCGTGGGTGGCCGCAAGGTTGAGCATCTGCATGATAACATCCAGGCGTTGTCGATTCGGTTGACGGAGAAGCAGATCGAGTTCCTTGAATCCGTCAACCCGCTTGACGTTGGGTACCCCTATAATTTCATTGGTTCCGACCCGGCCACTACTACTGGCAAGGCGGGCTTCCTTGCTCAAACGGGTGGACACGTTGACTATGTGTTGGCTCCGAAGGCGATTGGGTATTAGCACACTCTTTAGAATTAGGAGACGTGGGGTTCTGTAGAGATTGATAATTTGATGTATATATTCCACTCTAAGCACAATCTGATCTTTCCCTTTCGAAGCATCTCCGTTAAGCAAGGTTCACGGGTACAAATCATGTCAAAAGATTTCATTGATAGTTCATAATCAAGATGAATTCGAGCTAAGATGATGCAAAATATGTGCAGGGATATCGGATCCATGGATGCCGTTCCACGCCAGGACAATGTCTGTGCAACTCCGTGAGACCGTAACGAAACAATAAGCAAAGAACAAATCTAATGATACATCCTGCTGAGTGTACCAGGCAGAAGAAGAATCATGACAGAGAAGAGCATAGCATCCAAACGAGGACTCGGGTGCGTGAAGTCGTGGGGTCCCGAGAACTAAGCAATCCTAGCGTGACCCTAGTCGAGGCCGCCAGATTTGAAATTCTGGTTTCGGCGAAGCGCCCTTGCAAAGGGGTCGAGGTATGCAAAAGAAGAGGTAGGTTTGAAGCTAGATACGGTGCTTGTCCATAGCATGCCAAACAAAGAGACAAGACCAAAACCACCTTCAAGATACTGGCCCAGCCAGTAAACCGAATACCCCCGGAAAAGAACATCAAAGGGGGCGAACAGATGTGAAAATTTTGTGGGAATTGCGGAAAATCGTTATTTGGACTTCACGTTCATTTCCGATGGCCATGGGGGCTTTGCAGGCTCTCGTCCTTACTGGCCACCAGAGCGATCAAAGCAGCACCAACACCGCTGCCGTCCTTGGAGATACCAATGCGAACCTTCTTGTCACCAGCGACTCCGACCTTGGGTACCTCACGCAGAGCCTCGCGAATGTACTCCTCAAACTTGGGGTAGAACTCCACCAAGCTGCCGTCGACACCGATATCGACCATGGTCTCGGTCTCGAGCTTGCCAGTGTGGATGAGGATGGCGGCCATTGGGACGGCGCTCAGGCGGGCGGCACGCTTGCCGACGGCATGGACCAGGATCTTGACGGCCTGGCACTCCGCATCGCTGGGGTTCTCAATCTTCAGGTGATCCTTGAGAGCAGCCTTGACGTCGACAAAGTCCTTGGAGGTGTCGGCCTCGACTTGGCTTAGCAGGCTGGTATCCAGACCCCATTGGCGGTAGAAAAGAGAATCGGAGGGAAGAGAGACGTTGGAGGTCTTGTTGGGCTTGAAGAGGCCCAGGTCGGAGTTGTTGTGCATGGCCAGCAGGGCACGACGCAAGATTTCACCCAAGAACATACCCGAGACACGCTTTTCGAACATCTGCACACCGGGGTTGTTGCTGTCAGCATCCAGCTGCTGGTCGTAGACGGTGTCGGGCAGCACGCTCATGTGGTTGTCGAAGCTACCCCACTCGGCGTTGACGATCATCTCGCCCGTAGTGGTATCATAGTGCGCATCCTTCATGCTCTTGAGCTTGGTAATCTTGTCAAGCTTCTCGACGTAGGCTCCGTTGGTTCCGGTACCAAAGATGGCACCCAGCAGAGTGCCGGTCTCGCCGGGGAAGTGTACGAGCGAGCCATCAGTGTGCCGACGGTGTCGTTGACGAGCGCAGCCACGCGGACCGGCAGGTGGAGCTCGTCGATGGCGGATTGAAGCAGAGCACATACGTCGTGGCCAACGGCATCAGGGATGTTGAAGCCCTTGGTCCAGCGGATCAGGGTTCCGGAGTTAATTCCGCATTGGCGGACGGGGAAACTAAAGGTAAAGCCCAAGTCGAACAGGTCCTCCATGTCGGTGCCGTCGCGTCTCCGGAGCAGGTGAGCCTCGAAGTGCTCGTTGTGGTGAATGCGGAGGAAGGCCTCGATTTGGCGGGCCAGGAAGAGGAAGAGATCCTTGGAGGTACCGGAGGCCATGAGTTCCCGCGGGATCATGATCTTGGACTGAGTGAGGGAGAAGGTGGTGTCGCCATGGAGCTGAACGGAGCACACACGGAAGTTGGTGCCACCCAGGTCGACTGCGAGGTAGAGACCCTATTCTCATGGTTAGCGGAGAAAGCTCGAACCCATTGCTAGCCAGCTCATCGGTCCAAGACTGCACCTTTTCGGTGCCATTGGGCACAGCGGTCACGAAAGTGGGAATTTGGCTTAATGTGGTGTTTTCCTGTGCCAGACCCTCGTTTGATTGTTTGATATACTCATCAACACCACGCTGGACCTGATCCGCGGGGTAATCGAACTCGCGCGCGATGCGCGTGGCCTCGTCCAGCAGAGCAGACGACATGGTGGGGCTAGTAGTAAAAGATCAAGGGATCTTCCGCGGGGAGCTAGTTCGATAGGGAATAAACGCAGGACGAGGGTAGAACTACCACGCGGGAGGGGTGAAGGAGGTCAAAGATGAAGAGCAAGAGGAGAGGATGAAGGGATTCGAGAACGAAGAAAGTCCAGGACCAAAGACGAAGAAAAAGACAGCGTGCCAAGTGGGATGGGATGGCGGGGGATCCATGAGGTCAGTCCTCGGCGGGACAAAGTTACGGTACCGTATGGGTATGGGTATGGTATGGTAACTCCGCCATCCATACTCCCGCATGCATTAAGCCCAGTATTGGTCTTGTATTACTGAAAAAGTATCGGCTTCACCGGAGCCAGACTGGCTCGGCGCTTGAGGTATGAATGTCATTCGGAACGCATAGATTGCGAGGATTGAGATATCGGGTCCTTCTAGATGCATTCTTTTCTTCATTGTACCTGATCTTAGGTTGCTCTACATCAGCAAGGAACCGCATGCAGCCACCCTCCCACGCGCCCCCTGCATTCCAACTCTGTTGATGGTCACACTTGTACGCCCTCGTTCGAGGGGAACGTCGTCACCATACAGCAGATTACCTAAATCCCCCCAAGCCACCAAAATCCATAATTACCTGTGCCTACTTTTCGGCCCAGTCATGACGGCATGAAATGCTTTCCCTGAAACGACTGAAACTACGGAGATGACAATGTGGGGAGCTGCTCTGACTGGTCAATCGGTCGGTCTTCTCTCCAGTGTCTCCATGGCACACGTCTTCCCCCGACTTCACCGGTGAGCAACAGTGGCTTAGGCGCTCACGGAAACACGGAGGAGACGGGGTGTTGGGGCGTGAGGAACAGGGGACGGGAAAATAGCGACAGTCGGTCCAGGAGAAAAAAAGCAGAGGGCCCGAAGAAGACAACGCAAGACACACAACGTCGTATGCAGCGCACAGACCAAAAGTATGAATACCCCGGCCGCGGAGAGAGAGATATTAGGGAGATTTCATCCGAAGGGTGTTTTTGATAGTCCTATTGGGCACGATCGGAGGATAGTGCTCCTAGAGCGTCCATGCTACATGATAGTAGTGTCCTATCAGGGTGAACAAGAACCGAAGAGGGTGTATGAACCCCAATACACAGCATCCATCGTCATTTTGACTGACTTTCTCCGTCCCACACGCCCCGTTGGGCGTTCCTGGGGCACGTCTCAGTCCTCGGGATCCATCGGGCCACACGGCTTCCCTCCAACTCGGCTCCCGAATGGGTTCGGCTGGCCCGAGTCTTCGGAATCCCGATCGCCTATTCATTTCCCATGACTAACGCCTGCCGCACGGTGGGGGAGTGGAGGAAACCCTAGGCCAATTATTGAATTCAGTTCTGGGACCAGAAGGTTCTTCGGAAACGTTTATTCCATGGGTGTGCATTTGGCTTTCAGCCCGTGTTGATCTTCTCCAGCGGTGGAATTCATACGGTAGTAGTACATACAGAAGTGTGGCCGTCAAAGAGACAATTACGTCAGACTGCATTGCCAGCCCATGCAGGTGCGGCTCCAACACGTGGAACCGTGTGCAGGAACCGTGTCTCCGACTATCATGGCCACGTTTCGAGTGCCAGTAAGGTAGCTACATCTATCGCTCCGGGCAGTGATTCCATCCAAGTCAAATCAAGTCAATTTCATTCGTAAGAGATCCATCAGAAGCAAGTTATCAATCTCCTTCAGAGCAACAATTTAGGACATTGATCAAACAGCAAAGAAACAAAGTTGTCCATTCACCCCAGGGGTTCGGCAAGGCTTGGAAAAGGTGGCCACGCAAAAAAGACATTCTGCACAATCCCATTGTCTTCACAGTGAAAGCTCCTGGAGACACTGCTTCAATGTCTTTTGCAGCTTCAGAGCCTCCACACGACGACGGCTAGTCTGCGAGGACTCCGCGGCCAAGCGCAACAAGTCCTCATCTGAGTAACCGCTGACAACATTTGGGTCAAACACACCCGGCAAAGGGGCGAGAACATGTCTTTCAATAACTTGGCGGCATACATTGTCCACAAAGGTTTTCATGGCGACCTAAATGGGTGATGAGTTTGATTGGCAATATCAGAACGCGGCTGGGTTACCTTGTAGTAGGCATTGAGATCTATCAACGCCTCGGAGCAAGAACGGTCTACCATGTTGACCTCGACACGATTTGTAGCGAACCAATCAGTCTGCTGACGTCGTACACACTGAGATTCGACCTGCCGTACGAATCTGGGTTTATCACATTTTTCACGGTGCTTTCAAGGCTTATACCAACGGGGCGTAGTTAGGATATCACACGCCACGTGAATTTCGCATTCTCATGTCGCGCCTTCTGGATGTTGTCGGTGTAGTAGTGGTTGTACGTGATTGGATGACCTTTCTCATCCTGCAGTAGTTTAACAAGTTCTTTTTGAGACTCTTTAACGTTTTTGTCGAGAGCAGTCTTCACGTTCTTCCACAGCTTGTTACGAACCGTGACGTCCTTCAGGATCGATTTCAAAACCGAACTCAGATATTCAGGTACCAGGACCACGATGCTGTCAACGTGGGATCGAGAAATTTTACTCCATGAAGCAGACTGAGCGTGAAACAGTCTCTGCAACAGGGAATGATTGTAGTTTCCTGGCAATTCTCGACCTCTCGTTTCAAGGTACATCTTTTTCTGTTAGCCATGGCAATTCGAATTACGATTTATAGACATACCTGCTTGACCCAAGCTAACATCTCCGCTTCTGTGACCAAGAGCTCTTCACCTTCGGTTGCTTCAGCCGATTTGCCAGCGGAATCGCCAGCGTCTCCTGCAGCATCACCAGTGGAATCATTTGTAGGGTCATTTGTCGAGCCAGTAGGGGAGTCCCCTTCGTCTGTTTTATTGACAACCTTACGCTTCTGACCGTGCAGCCTCATGAAGTCGGCGAACTTTTCGTTTTCGATATGAACTGCTGCACGAAGACGAACATGTGTGTTCACATCTCTCTTTGGAGAATGTGTTCCATCACGGACATCGTGATTTCCCTCGAGTCCATTTTTGACAACTGACTGAAACTCAGTACTGACACGAGTGAGGAACATACGGATCTGGGTTGGCCGCGATCTCTCGGGTCCCAAAAGGGCGATCTCCCTGCAAACCTCTTCAATAAGACGATACATCTCTTCTCGCACCTTCGGGAGCTCTCGCTCGATGTGAGTGTCAAGGAGTTCTTGCAAAAAAAGACGAAGGTTCTCGATGCCAACTCTTGATTTATCAGGAGCTTGAGCCTTCCAAGGTGCGCTCGAGAAGAAATCCAATTCGGCTTGAACACGCTGCCGGAAAGTGAGACCCCCCTCCAATTCTGTTGGTGACGGATTCTTCATGAGAAAGAAGCCGTGGTGTAGCCTAGTCCGATCCAGGTTCTTCGCCAGGCGTGCAACGCGTTCCTCTGTTCCCTTGTTGATGAGATCGGGCTTCGTAATAATTCCAATTGTTCTAATTCCCTCCTTGTCAAAATGACGCGCTCGTTGTATGATGGTCTGCGTCTCGGCATCGCTGGTAGCTGGTATGACGGCGAGGATAATGGTGCGCGAGCTCTCAAGATAGGAGTCAGCCAGGCTCCGCACCATGTCAATGTCTTGTGGATTTTCCGAGACAGATATCAGGCCAGGGAGATCCACAAATGTCAGGTGTAGCCCAGTATCACCGATCACTTCCAGTCGAAGGACATCCGTGGCGAAGGAAGGGGCATCGGGTAATTCACTAGATCGCACCCCCATCAAACGAGAGGCTTCTTGAATGATATCAGGCAGCTCGTCAAAGCTCTCAAACTCGCGGCTAAAGGCCGCGAACTGCTCTCTTTCTTGAGGGGTACGAGAGGGAGATGGTATGAGACTGACTGCTTTTCTGCTAGTGGAGGTGTTGTGACGAAGTATAATCTCTGTAGGGAAACGTGTGCAAAGGCCATCTTGTCGGGGGAATGGACATCCGCTGATACCTTCAAGAATGGAGCTCTTCCCTGCAGACTGATCACCACATACCGCGAGCTGTGGCAATGCAATGTGGTCGCCAACTCCGAGAGCTCGAACATCATCGATTTGATTGAGTCTTTGGGAAGTCTTGCCAGAAGCTAGTCCGCCGCCAATTTCGTAAATGTGAAGGATGTCAGATTTTCTATGGCCCTCGTGGGGAAGATTCAAATGCTCCATGTCGTCTATGTGGAAGAGTCAGAAGTTGGTTGCAGGAATTGACAAGCAAATGGAGACAAGTTACACGGCGAAAAGTGTCAAGAGGAAGATTTTGCAAGGAAGTAGATTCTGTTCTGATACGATAAATTATATTTGCTCCTTTTCTTTCTTTCTTTCTTTCTGTTTGAGTTTCATCAATGTCTAGCAAACAAGAAAACAGCGGTGCTTTCCCATTCGGGTAAGTCCCATATTGTTTGACACCTGTCCAGCACCTCCAAAATGCCATATATTTCGGTTCCTTCATCATGCAAAGAATTTGCAAGCAAGATGATCATTGTGGCTTTGATCAATTAAGAAGGCTGAGGGTGCAGTCGCAAATTGATTGCCAATCGATCTTTGCGCGCCAGCAACATAAAACGACTTGAGGTTCCTTGAAGGACCCTGTTTCGCTATACTATACAGAAAAGTGATGTCCTATATTGACAACATCCAAGCATAAAAACCCCATCGGAAGCATTTTTGAATCTGAATGCAGTGACTATTTATATTTTTACCAGACCTAATTCCCGCACTAACACAATTCATATTCCACTGGTACTGGTACCTTAACCAGAGGAGGCAACTGGGGGGATGACTAACCAAAGCACACGTGACCGAAGTATCGGAGCTTCGGGTGAACTGGGGCGTCTCTCACAACCGCCCTTCTCTTGACTGACTTGACGGCATTTACACCTTCCAATCGGAACAATGGGTGCTGGCAGTTCCAAGCCTGAGGCTGGGGGTAACTCCCAACATGTCTTCTCCAGGTAAATTGACTCCCCGACGTTGAACCGCCATCGCGATGCCGAATGGTTTATGGCGGGAACCGGAACCACGAGACCGGATCGATCAAGCGCAATTGCTGTAACGTTCAGCGATTAGAATCGCTGAGCGCAGTCAAATAAGATATAATTGGATACCAGAATCCGCTAACATGCACCCTCGCGCAGCAACTCCCCCGTCCAATTCTCCTCCAACCTAGTTGAAGCCCTCCAGTCCACCTCCGAGGTCAGTCGAATCCCTCACAACACATTATACGACCTCCAATCCCAAAACCACTCATACTCATACACATCTACATAACAGACGGACTCCTCCCGCGCTAAGGCCCTCGAACTCGAGATCCAAAACCGCGTCGCCCAAGAACTCCAACGCCTCCGCGAGCGCGAGCAGCAAACCCTCGCCGAGATCGAGAAGCGCCTCGCCGAAGTCAAGGACACCGGCTCCATCCCCGTGAGCGCCGCCACCGCACCCGTCGCCGCCTCCCCCTCCGGCTACCCAGTCGCCTCTCTCAACCTGGACGCCCCGCGGATCCCCTTCGCTGGCCGCGAGTACGAGCCGGCGCCTGTTTTCGCCGCGCCCCAGGAACCCGTCGCACAGCAGCAGCCCGTTGTCAACCGCGAGATCTCGCGGGTCTCGGTTATGAGCGAGATTGACGTGCTGCGCAGCCGTCTGGATGGACGGAGGAAGTTGGTTGAATTGGATGAGGGTGTTGAGAAGGCCAAGGCTAATGTTGTTAGTTGTCTGCGGTTGAATGACCGGCGGCCATTGGATTGCTGGAAAGAGGTGGAGGCGTTTAAGAAAGAGGTTGCGAAGATGGAGGCTGCCTTTGTGGATCGCATTGTGGGTTAAATTAGCGGCAGATGATACCGCGGGCTTGATGGGAAGCCTTCTTGACACTGTCTCGACCGTGGATGCTGTACTGTATGTATAGAAAGTGCTTTTTCTTCTTTTGGTTTAGTTGCCATGATATTGCATGGGATAGAATTGATCCTACATGAACCCTCTATTACACATGATATCTATGAAGTATAGGTGTGCCTTATTCATGGGCGTTCATATCTCATCAAGTATCGAGTGCAACCACGTTAAAGGGTATCAAAACATCAACGATCCTATCACACGAGCTCCCACACTCCCAACCGTCCAAACTTCTCTCCCGCCGTCCTAACAATGCACATCTTCCTCTCGGATGGTTTAAAATTAGGTAGCAACACCTTGGACAGTAGAACTGAACCAACTCCTGTGCCCTTACCCTCGGAAAGATTGAAGTTTCCCGTCGTCACAAAGCCAATGAGATCATCTTCAGGGGGCACTTCCAGATGTTCAGATCCAGGATCTTCGGGGATCGCAGTGCTAGCCAGTGCATCAGCGAGCTGGCGTTGCGCTTCCTCACTAGAGAGAGTAGATCTTGCTATGTGAACGACTTGCCGTCCATTACTCTTCTTGTTGGATGGGGAAGCAAGATCGAGCCACTTTTGCCGCAGGACTGGATTTGTCGGAAGGCGATAGATGCGTGCAGAAGGAGTGGGAGTGCCACGACTGGAGAGAGTAAGGTGGATTGTAGCGAGGGCATACGGATCAATTGGAGTTTTGTTGAGCTTGTTGAGGAGCAGATTTGTTTCACTCAATGGATAACGGATATTGTGGATGTTGGATGGGGGTGTCGTGGAATCGGTCGTATCGGCGTCCTTTTTAGCAGCATCCTGGCTGATTGGATCCTTCGGCGGGCCGTTAACGAGTCTCTGCCAGTCACACGTCCAGCCATAGCCAATCTCTCCCTTGGGATGACCATCGCCCAAAACGAGACTGTCAAACTCGACTCGGCGCCCTTTGGGTCGTCGCTCCCACTGGCGTCGAGATTTCTCGGCCTCGCGTTGGCTCCACTCCCAGCCTGCTCGGGTACCAGGGAAATCGCCGGGGAACCATCCCTCGCCCGCCTCGAAAGCAAGCTGTTGTTGCTCCTTCAAGCCACCAAAACGTGGATTTCCACCGCTTGAGAGTGGATAGAACATGAGTGAATACCATACCGGAACCACACATTTCCACGGGAGAAGTACTGTCCAGGATCCTGGCGCAGTGTTCCGTTTTGACCGGGCCTGTGGTCGACTGGTAAATATCATGACAGGGATTTGCGGGTCGGTAGATTGTGCAGCAGGGTATTTGCCTGGACCGGCGAGTGCACGGCGGCGGTTTATCGCCTTTTGGCTTGGTAGCTGTCGAATAGCCGCGAGGCGACTTGGGCGGTCGAAAAGAGAAGATGTGCCTTGCGTTTGGTCGGGTGACCAAGTAGAGAGCAAGACAGCCAAATCATTCATGTGCGATTCGTTGTCCGGAACTTTAAGGCTGCGCGGTGGAAATTGGAGACGTGGATCAGAAACAGAGAACGACAAAAGAGCATTCCGTGGCAGTGATGATGGATTAGATACGCCGAGTAAGGATAGCCAGGTAGCCTCGGGGCTCTGTGCTGTTAGACCATCCGGGCCTATGACAGGCTGCAGTGTAGCCAAAAGGGCCTCAGTAGACCCTGGACCAGTGATTTCAATGCTACCAATCTCAAACCGTAGGTCCTCAACCATAACCGGCGGGTTCTGTCGCTTGGAAATCTCAAGCAAATCTGTCCATAACTGCAGGAATGCAGACGGGTGGACCCGGATAAAGAGTTTTCGTCGCGGTTTCTTCAAGGTAGCAGAAGCTTTGTCTGCGTCGACCATTTCAACATCCTCAACCTTGGGCTGCACACACCAAATCAGCGTAATAGGCGCAATGGGTCTGGCGGGCTGTTGCTTCTCAAATGCCCAAGCTTGCAAAGACCGCGTTCCAGCCCTCCACTTCTTGCCCTTCGCACCCCATGCCTCGTCGCTATTGACACCAATCCCACGCAGCACGGCTTCGATGCAGGCTTCTGTCCCTTCTAGCTGCACGGTAGACATATAGCTCATATCCCACGCCACAGCACCACGGGCACCACGAGCTCGATGTGTTGGCCGATAACTCTTCTCGGTAGGTGAAAGAGGAATTGCGAAGCGCCAGATCGGATCCTTAGTGGTAGCCATATGAGCTCGCTTCGCATGGAACATGTGCGTTGGGAGCCAATTCTTGCATCGCTGGCGCTTGCGGTACTTCGCGTCTGCTGGGGGCGGGCGTGAGAGCTTGCCCTTTTTGATTTTGGGCACTCGGGGCGCAATGTTGAACGTATGGCTGCCTTCTTCCTTGGCGGTAGCTTTGTTCTCATTGTCTCGCTTGGTTCTTGCTGCTAATCGTCGGTTCTTCGATTTGGCATTGAGGTTTTGTAGGCGTCGAGCGGCTTCGAGGCGGATACGCATAATCTGGCTTGATTTGCGGCGCCGTGCAGTGACCGTGGGGGTATTGTCCTCGACCATCTACCATTTGGGTTCGTCAGCTATCCATGAAATTTAATTGTGATCCAACACTGGAGAGGACCGTACCTCTCGCTTTGCCCGCGCCCGCAACCTTCGCGGGACTCGTTTCACATTGTGACTCGCCGTCCGACGTCGCAGTGAGCGTGGCACTTTCTGAAACGCGCGCGTCGTCAGCGCATTTTTCGACCGCTGCATGCCATCCTCCAAGGCCTGGATCTCGAACGCTCGCGCGGCGGCGTATGCAGCGACATCGAGCTCGCCTGTTGCAGAGAGGGCGGCGTCGGTGGACTGCACAGCTAGAGTACGTGCGTCAAAGGTTTTCGCACGCTTTCGAGCAGCTCCGGTCGCACCATGGGATCCAGAGGCGCCAAATGGCTTCCTTTTTGCGGGATTGGAAGCCATGGTGGGACCTGTCGAGGTTCCAATGTTGAGCGAGTAGTGTCAAGCGATAAAAAAGTTGCCGGGCTTGGCGCGTCATTCCAGGTGATCGGCGACCCCACGGAAGAGTGCCACTTAGTTTACATCACCGATTTAGTCCTAGCTCGGGGCAGGTACTTGATGGATTTTTGTTCCTTTAACTTGGAGGGAAAGAGGAAAAAGGCATAATTATTCATTGATCGTATCAGAATTTTCAAGTTATCATCAAATTCCAATACCGTCATCAAACTACGTTATACACAATCTCGAGAAAGATATACATCCATCACTTACATCACGACAGCCACATGGTCATCCATGTACTTGGTGATGTCGCCCAAGAAGCAAGCAGCCAGGATCGAAACAGCACCAAACGCAATACTGACATAGTACACCCATTTGTAGGCCTCGGCGTAAGCGATCTGACCGGCCCCGACAACCATCTCATAAGCGGTTTCGTTGCCAGCAATGCCAGGAATCTTCTGCAACTCGGTCAACAGAGAAGCACCGGTGAGCTCGATGGCTTCGGTGATAGCCTCGACGCTGGTGATGTTGAGCTCGGTCGTCATCACACCACCGATATAGTACGTCGCGGCCGGAATAAATTTGTTGATGAAGACGTTGTAGTAGATGGTGTAGCCGACACTGCCACCCACCACACGGATAGATAGGGTGAGGGCGGAAATGGTGGCAATCAGATCGTCGGGGCAAATAATGGTGGTGATAATCGATGCAGGAACGACGATTCCACCGATTCCGAGGCCAGCAAGGACGAGAAGTCCCCACAATTGGTGCATGTTGTCAACACGACCGATCGCAAGAGCACCACAGCCTATATGACTAATTAGCGCGCTCCAATAAGTTATCTTGCGGATGCTCAACAGATCACTTACCGGCAGTCATAAGAACGCTGCTCACAATCAGGAGCTCCTTATTATGTCCTCGGAACACACTAAGCAGGACCAGCACGATACAGGCACCAGCCAAGATACCGAAGCCAACAGGAAGACTGCGAATACCGACACCAACCGGATCATGTCCGTACACGTTGAAAGATTCAGTGGGCCAGAACATGAGCACAGAGAAAAAGTTGGCTCCCGAGATGAAGGTGATGACCAGGGTCAGACCCAAGGTGCGAGGCTCCTGCTTCAGACGTGTCGGGAAGATTGGGTATTTAGCACCATAGATCTCCCAGAAGGCAAAGGCAATCAACATAACGAAGCCGAGGATAAGTGGAGCAAGGACGTGAGCAGAGCTCCAGGGGTACTGTAGAGAGATAAGACAAAATGCGTTAGAACGGCGAGAAGAAGCAATGTGGACTCGGGAAATCAAACATACCATATAACCACCCCACTGCATACCGGCCATGAACAAGATAAGACCAGTGATACTCAAGAAGCCACCAACAAAGTCAATGCGACTAATAATTTCCTTTCGACTCAGGCCAAGCGAGTTGACTCGAGGAGGAGGCTTGTAGAAGAGAACGGTGATCAAGAGACCGAAGCCGTTCCAGGCACCGCAGAATGCACCGACGTAGCGCCAGTTGCTGTGAGCGGCAATGAGCTGAGCCCACAGCACGGACGGGCAGAAGGGCACAATGGTGAAGATCAGCACAGCAACGTAAACACCACGCTTGCGGGTCGGCGCCATCTCCGAGGTTGCGGCCAGCGCAGTCAGTTCGTTGACACCAGCGCCAGCACCGGCAATGGACATACCAGCTGGACGATTCAGTCAGTATGTGAAACAAAACTACGGCATTAAGTATCACCAACCAATGAAGGTATTCATAGTATTAGCAGTGCTGCTCACGATCATACCGAGACAGATGAGGGAAGCACCCAGAATGGCGACATAGCGACGACCGATCAAGTCTGAAAGAGATCCGACGAATGGACAAACACCCGCGAGAGCGAGCAGGTTTCCAAGGACCTGTTGCACCACCAGGATTAGCGTATGGGTTGCAGGTTAACAGTAAGGTCTACTCACAAACCAGATCCAACGGTCCGCTCCACCAATAGATCCATAGATATAGGGAGGAATACCACCTGTTGGGATTGTCAGTGGCTGCCTTTAGAATGACTAGACAGGGGATAAGCCATACCAAACAGATAAACAGGGATCTGGCTGCCAGTCCACAGGAAGGCCATGGCCGTGAAACCCATGAAACGACGGAAGGTCATCTAGATATCGCTGTGAGGATGATTGGCACCTTAATCCTGGCCTGCCGAATCCTTACCGGAATGTTCTTCTCGGACTCGTGAAGCCCCGCCTCATTGGAGCTACCATCAGCGTCCCTTTTGTGAATATGCTCCTGATGCTGCATGACGGCCTTCTCATCGCCCTGCGCCGGAGTCTGGACGTCAATCGACCCAGTCATAATGGGCAAGTAAGGTACAGCAGCAGTACAATGCTCCGAATTGAAAGAAGTGCCGCAGGTGGCAAGAAGACGAAGAACAAAAAAAGGAACCTTAGCAAAGGGAGATGCCAATTCCCAGCATAAAGATCTGACAGACCACTCCACTTGAGTGGGGAAGACGAGCAGATATATCTTTGTCAAAGCGACAATGAGTCTCCTGGCATGAAACGTTGCGATCGCACCGCGTCGCGCCGGAACGGTAGTGTACTAGGGGGGTCCACTGCTATCTGGGTCGGAGCAGTCCGCAGGCAACCTGGCCAATCAGTCGAAGGTGGGTGGGTGTAGCAAAGGGTGGCCAGAGTTCAGTTGGAGAGCGTATAAGCGATAGCCGGGGTGGCCAGCTCAAAATCCAGAAAATACCGAGGTACGCTTAGCATTGCTTGGGCGTTTCTTGGAATTTCTTGGACTTGACGGAGTTTGTCCTGAGGGCCTTTGGCCTTTGGGAGGGGGCGAGTTGGGCCGTGGCAGGAGGGAAAATGCGGGGGAAAACGTGGAGAAGGTGGACGGTCATCATCGACTTGGCTGGACGTGGATTGACTTGCGGACGCAGTACCGCAATGGGCTGCAGCCCCGAAACTGTAATAACCTAGTTAACCCATAGTCAACCTGTAACTTCTCGCACTTCCGTTACTGAGCGAGCTCAGTGGTCACTCGGTCGCACAGGGTCTGTGCTGGTTGGTGGCCCACTGCTGCAAGCTGGAGACGACAGTCTTCGAGTCTGGACTAGCTCGGTTTTGGGAATTAGCCGTCAGAGATAATTATGGAAAAAGAACATTTGTACATGAAAGAAGAAATAACAGAAAAAGAAAAGTACCTAGGCAGCGCGATAATTGGCATCCTGCGGCTGGCCTTGGCGGGATGAGACAAAGAAAGTTGTAACTCTATTGTACATGGTTCAGCTCTGAACTACTCCCCCTGAAGTCTCGCAAGCTGCTCCTTCTCTGTTAGGCGCATACAGAGCAAAGATAAAGCGGGTCCAAGTGGCTGACGAGTCTATTACAGTCATACTTGCGAGTAAACTGGTCCCCACAAGATCGGCTAGACAAAGTGGCCAAATTAGACGAACTGACTCGTCGAGTCATCAGACGTGGGCGGGCGATTTGATTGCGGATTACCACACACCTACTCACACACCCATGGGTTCGTGATGCAAAAAACTTGGGATCAGAATCGGTCGCCCAGCTTCACAAGCTTTAGCTTCTTCGGGACAACAAAGAGACCATTTGCCTCGACACAAACACGCCCCGTCATATCGCGAATCTCGCACCTGACGTACGCCTTGCTGTCCGTGCTCTGCTCTGGGCTCAAGGTCGAGTGGATGGAGTAGAAGTTGTCCGAGTACACCAGGGCGCGATAGTCGATATTGAGGTTCGCAGTCATCCCCGTCCGTGCAGGGAAATGGCGAATAGCTGCGCGACCGAGATTCTCGTCGATTATAGTGCCAAGAGCGCCGCCGTGCACAACGGTTGGCCATCCTTCGATGCCAGATCCCATAAACACCACGCTAACGAGCTGGTGCTCCTTTTCATTCCAAAACGCTCTCTATTCGAGTACGCTCTCGGTCAGAACTGAGCGGGATCCCGAGGTTCGGCACTTCCACAGCTCGGCAGTTGCTGGGTTCGCCCCCTGTACACAACTGCGACAAGGAGCTCAGTGCACCCGCCGAGAGATGCAGGCCCAGAATGTCAAGAGCCACTCACCTGTAATCCAAAGCCCCTGCTCCCACCCAGAGCACCCGAAGTCAGTCGATGGGTCTTGCTCTCTTCCGAATAGTTCTCGTAGACGCCCATTTCCACGAAATCGGGATCCGCCCGCAGCCTTTGCACTATCGGGAGCCCAGTGTCGAAGACGTGCTGAATGTCCTGTAACTGCAGCTTGTCCTCTGGTGTTCCCGGAATTGGTGGCGCAGCAACCTTCTTATCCATCCATTTTCCCACACTGACCCCAAGAGTTCCGAAGATTGTAGCGTAGATTAGTCGGCGCGTCCAGCGCGACGCTTGAGCCGAGGTGTTCTGGGATGCGGCAGTATTGGTGATGTTTCGGGTCGAGACCCTTGACGCAAGAGGGAATCTGGAGGTGACATGCAGTCGTGATGCATTCGCCCAGAATGGTAGCTGTAAAACCCTGCGAGAATACATTGCGATCACATTGCCAGCCCGCTGGAGAAGGAGATGAAGCCAAAGTGGATAGGAGTTTATGAGCAGACCGAGGCCCGTATCACGTGATACAATACTCCGAGAGACATTTCAGCTTGGGTTACGGGACACTAGTAGACTAACTACTGCAGGGACATATGAAAGAAAGTGAAAAAGCTACTAGCTAGAACGAGAGATTTCATTGGATATCCAATCCATAATTCCAAAATAAATATCCGCGTCGACTCATGGTCATCGTTTCTATGCATCTAATTCAGGGTGTTCCTTCTTGGTCGCAGAACAGGAGATTTGAACAATATGTAGTAGCGTCCAGAACCACGATCAGCGTTGATCACTGCTCCAAGGTGGGAAGCTCAATGGCGCGGTAGAGGAGAATCAGAGCCGAGTGGGACTCGCCTAGGGATATGTATTAGCGACACTGTTGAACAAACAGCCGTTCGTAGAATATAGACTTACCACCACCGGAGAGTGTCTCAATCTTCTCAGCGTCAACCTCAGTCACCTTGTCGTCGTTGAACCACCACCACTTGTTGTCATCCTCCTCCTCCTCCTCCTCCTCACGGCGCTTGTCGCCGGGTTGGGAGCCGTTCGACTTGCGTGCCTGCTTTTTCACGTACGCGGTGTAGTGACCACTGTCGGCACTGGCACCTTGGTGGGTGATGACACCACGAAGCTCATACAGACCAGACTGGTTGTTTCCGCTGTCTGAAGAGGAGTGTTGGTTGATAAGATCATAGAGTTCTTTCTTGGCAGCCTTGATCTCTTCCATCTTTTCGGCCTCGTACTCGGCGTCGGTTTTGAAGGTCTCTTCCATGGCAGTGTCACCGTCCTTGTCGTTTGCCTTGCTCTTGGTCTCCGTAGTCTCTTTCTTCTTCTGCACCGGCTCTTTGCTTGCTTGAGATCCCGCCGCCTCTTCCTCTTGCTTCTGATCCCCCTCCCGCTTATTGTTCAGCTTCTGGCGCTTGCGAGACCGCTCAACATCCAACTCGTCTTTGCGAATCTCACGAACCTTATCGCGGACAGGCACGAGTTGCTTCCTAAGCTCCTCGGTACAGAACTCCACAATATCAAGCTCGGCAGGGAAGGTAACCTTGCGCATGATCTTGGCCTTCTTCTGAGTCTCACGCTTCCAGAAGAAACGCACAAAATGGACGGTGAGGTACATTGGCAAGCGAGAGATGCGCGAACGCTTTGTATAAAGAGCGTTGCGGTCGAGTGTCGGGGACTGCTTCTCAATCTGCTCTTCTAATCCTGCCAAGATACCATCTTGAAGATGGTTGGTTTCCTTTCCAATGTGGCAATCCAACTTGAAGAAAACATCGGAGGACTTGGTGGGCTCCTCGCCGGCTTCCTTAGCGGTGGGATCGTCACATTCGGTAACCGAGTCAAACCGGCCGGCCATGTACCTGTCGACGAAAGAGACACGTGATGCGGAATCCTCGTTTCCATCGGCGATGGTCAGCTTGTTGCGCAGTTGGTTCACAATCTGCGACCACGCTTCTTCGGCATCCTGCTGCGCGTAGCCATGTCCATTGCGATCTCTTTGAGCAAACTGGGGAAAGACAGTCCGGAGAGCATTGACGAACATGAGAGGCGGAATGCCCTCCTGGGTTTCGGACATTTGCTTGAATAGATCTCGAAGAGAACCAGTCAGATCACTGGATCCACCCAAACCACCCAGACCAAAGCTGCTGAGGTCTGCAAGGCCCGATCGGCCAGAATCGGCACTTGACTGATATCGCTGAAGCTCTTCCTGCAGCTCCGGGACACTTCGAAGGGTTTGTAGAGTGGAGTTCAAATAGCACGTATTGCCCAGGTTTTGTAAACCGGCAGGAGTGGCTCCCTCCTGCTGTGCAACCTCAGCCTCTGTCATATCCTCCAAGAACTTCACAACCTCCTTAGGACGGCCGAGATCAGCGGCACCTTGAGCTCCGGACGGCGTGCCCATCATCATAAACGTTTGCCCTGGTTTGGCCTTGAGGGAGGACAGGGGGGTGTCATCCTTGAGTTGGCCACCTTTCACCAACACCTTTTGCCGGTCAGGCTCAACGCCAGTCAGAGAGAATAGCTGATATTTCAATGTTTCGCCGTTGGCTTCGGGATCGAGCTCGACTTCGTGGCGTTTGCCCGCATGCTTCACGATAACTGGAGAGTGATTAGTCATGGCAACATGATATTTCCGAGGTACTATTCTTGACACTCACTAGGTATGGGTGACATATTACTTGCTTCGCCCGAAGGGAAAGAGATTTTGAAGCTGCAACGAGTGATGAGATGGTTGGTAAAGGGTTGAACAGCTTGCAGCTCCGGGGAATGTGCTCGAAGGCCGTGGGGCAGAAAACAAACGCTACGTCACCGCCTTCCCGCCTTGCGGCCTGGGGCGCGGAACCTCCGCCCATGACGGCCCCTCCATCTCCTGTCGCCTAGCTTGACGTTGTTGACTGATTAACAAAGGATTTCTGGAACGACCAGCTCTTGCAATTCCTGAAGAGACTTGAATATTACTCAATTCTGCTTTTCAGTTCCTGTTAAGGCCCAGAACCATCGCATCTCCGCCCAGCATGGTACGTTGGATCCCGCAACACAGTTCCCGAGTACTGAACCTCGACAAAGTCGCAAAGTCTCCGCCCCTATTTGCAGTGTGTCCGTGTGAGTCTCACGGCTGCTCTGGCAGGTAAGATCTCTTTAAATTCGTGTCGTGTGGTTTGATCTAACGCAATCAGTCTCGAATTTCGCGTCCCAAACGAGCGAGCGCCAGTATGATTACATCGAACCCGAGGAGCATACACGGGAACTAATTTGCCTCCTAGCAATGTCCCGGAAGTGGAAGCAGGAAGCTCCCCAGAGCTTATTCTGAACCCGGTCACAATCAGCCGTAACGAGCATGAGAAGGTCCTTATCGAACCCAGTCAGTGCATCCATGCTCGTCGAACCACGCTCCGCTTAATATGCTAACTCAGCCAGGTGTCAACTCCGTCCGTTTCTCGATCCGAATTAAGCAAGCCGATGAGATTGAACATATTCTCGTTCACAAGTTCACACGCTTCCTCACACAGGTATGAGTTCAATATGTCCAGTTTGTCTGGATCTTTGCTTACCATGATCGACTAGCGCGCGGAGTCATTCTTCATCCTTCGAAGGAAGCCCATGCCCGTACGTATCCTCGATATTCCATACCATCTATGCACTCATGCTGTGCCCATTGTCTCGATAACACTTGGTTGTTCTCGACACAACCCTCGTTGCCCATACGTTCACACCATATCCCTGACTCATTTCCTAGGGCTATGACATCTCGTTCCTGATCACCAATGCACACACCGAGGCGATGTTGAAGCATAAGCTTGTCGACTTTGTCATTCAATTGTAAGTTCAGACCACAGTCGCTGGTCCACCGCGAAGAAATGACTCGAGTGCTAACAGAGAAAATAGTATGGAGGAGGTTGATAAGGAAAGTAAGTAGTACTCACTCACTCTGACCTTCCAGATTTCTTGAAACAAGCGCTTATCTCTAATCTGCAAACAGTTTCTGAGATGAAACTATTCGTAAGTTCTTTGTTGTTACATGCGCCCGGGCTATCATGATCGACTAATGTATATCAGTTGAACGCCCGTGCTCGATTCGTGGCTGAATCCTTTTTGACTCCGGTATGGAACTTTTCGAAGTCACCTCGGGAATTCGTGCTTACATTCATACAGTTTGATTAAATTCTTGGCGATCTCTCCCAACCCGCGTAGTTGCAGAGCAACTCGATGAATACAATGACCTTGTGCTTCTACCATTCCTGTACTATGCAGGTGGCTCTGTCTCGCAATACAAAGTTGTCGAATTCATTCTCGCTCTCTACCTGTTGTTAGAACTTCGCCTTTAATATCTCCTTCCATTTAGCCTGGTACTCAAATTGACCTAATGACGGTGGCACTTCGAATAACTGCATGGACACCTAGACTCGGCACATCTTATTCCCAACAGCCGGTCACCTTCGGCTGCTCAACAATGGCACAAGCACAATTCCCCAGCACCATTTGACTCGACACCACTTGCAAATCATTTACAGTAGGCCCTCTCTGTTGTGGGTGTTGCCTAGCCGATTTTGCGAGTTTCTCGAGGCTGCCCGCGAGTGATTGCCTTTTTAGTCTGCTTAGGGCTCGTTACAGCCACGACCGATTTTCCTTTTCCCACGGAGCATGTGACACGACCCATGTTTGCTCCCAAGGCCCCCCAAATCCTTCTCAACCTCCACGCACCCCGCTACATCCACGCACTTTCCTTTCTCAACTCCCTTGCTTTCTCACCACAACGTCTCTCTTTTCCACGCAACCTCCACGCACTTTTCAACCGTCTCGCTAACCCCCCAAGATGAGCGTGGAATCAACGAGCATGGCGCGTGCCCAGAGTGCGCCTGCCGACCTGGAAGACACTGATATTGCTGGCCTCAGCAGAGAGAGTGTCGTGGAGCCTCTGGGCTTGGATGATGAACAAGAACTTGCTGGTGGGTGGAATTTTGAGAATTATTATTATTCATCTGAACTCTTCTAATATCAGATTGTTTCACAGTGCTTCACTACACGGAACTAGAAACTGAGCCAGCTTCCGCCTACTGGGACGATTGCACCTACTGGGACGATTCGACCTACTGGAGCAGTACCGATAACGATAGCCAAGAGAGTCGGATGCTATCTCTGATCTGCTTTTATATGCAGGAAGAGAATCGTGTGGTGACCCCAACCACAGCAGGCAACATCCCTCGCCCAGCTTCCTGCCCTCCTCTCCAAACTTGCTCTCCCACCATCTCCTCTCTTGCCCTCCGCCATCTGATTTTCCGCATCAAGCTGATCGTTCTTGACCATCACTTTGAATCTACTCCTTCTTTAGACCGTGTTTCCCACTACCTCGCTTCACTTCCTCAAACTTTCCCACTTCACCACCACTCATCCCCCGACGCCGTTGCCGCAGGAGAAGCCATCAACACTGCGTTCAACATGTATCACCCACCGGTGAACCCTGACATCCAGGCTCAGTACGATCAGCAGATGGTGGAGTATCACTCCCGTCTGCTCAACCAGGCCATGACCCCGAGCGAGTGCCCGATTGGCAGTGAGGCGGAGATCCAACTCCGTCCTCACTATGCTGTTGTTCTCATCGAGAACGTAAGTCTACCTCATGTTCTACCCTTCCTTTGACGTTTTATCTCTCTCTGACAATAGAATACTCGGATGCAGATTCCATACACTGTCACCCGTCAAGAGGTGATTCAGTTCTTTGGCCGCGATGCTGGCTTGGCTGAGGGGTGGGCCGTCCACATCATCATGGAGCGTTCCTCTGGCAAGACCATGGACTGCTATGTGGAGTTCAACAGCACCAGCGATGCCATGAATGCTGTGCAGCGGGTCAAGAGAATGCACGACGCCAACCAAGGCCCCCGCATGGGCAACCGCTATGTTGACCTCTCGCTCAGCACCCAGGCGGCCCTCATGAAGGCTCTGTTTCCTCGCGCCAAGTGCATTGAGTGGGTGAACGGCCGTCCCAACAAAGTGCCCAAGCGTCAAGATGAGCCATGGTCGAGTGGTTTTAACGGATTCCTGACCGACGAAGAGCTTTTCTGTGTGGTCCGTCACGCTCGCGAGCCCAACCGGGTATGTGCCTCCTGTCACCTATCTGTGTTGTTTACGGACCCCAGAACTAACCCAAATCTTAGAGCCTCTATGCAGTGAAGGTCCCCCAGCGTACCTACGAGTCGATCATCAGTACCATCTGGAAGGTAAGAAGCTGCATTTGCCTCTTGATTATTTGGTCTTCTGGGCCGTTTGTTTGTTTGCTGTGTTCCTGAAACTGGACATCTAGTTCCCATGGCTCGCTACTGACTTGTACACCGTGCACGCGCGCAACAAGCTCTACGACAGCCTGAGGCTTATGATCGATGCTTTGGTGGGTCGCCTGCGCAATGGACAAACCGTCGGATTGGATACTCGCCTGGTGTCTGAGCTCCTTCGTGCCGGCCTTGAATGTCCTGCATTCAACCCCCGTATGAAGTATGTCCTTGCAGAGACCAGCCAAGACCAAGGAGTCCTGCGCCGGATGAACCCAGGGTACCTGATCTTTTTCCCGTTCGACACGCTGACCTGGCTGCGTCCGAACAACCCCGTCGCGTTGGAGGTAAGTCTCACTGCTTTCACAAACTTCTTTCATTTGTGTGAGTAATGACTAATGCGTTATAATCAGTTCTATGCCACGCTCATCTCCCAGAGCGGGGCCAACAGCATCCCCCAAGGGATGATGCGCCGTGGCTTCGAACCACGCTACCAGCGGCCCTACGGCGACTGGTGGTTCGAGTGGTCCCCGGAGGTGGCCGTGAACAAGTCGTTTGCAGACGCCATCCGTGATGAGATGCGGCTCCTGCGAAGCATGATCTCTTCTGGTCACCGAGCCATGCAGACCATGCGCCGCGCCCCACACCCTGGGGCTTCCAACCCTTCCCCGTCGGGTTCGGCATTTGTCGACACCCAGCCCGGTGGTGTCCCTCAAATGGGCACCCAGATGCAGCCTCCGTCGGGCCAGAGCGCCCCCAGCAACCCTCAACGGCAGGGTAGCCAGGCCCACTGGCCTAGCCAGGGGCCCAACCCTTACGTTGCTGGTGCCGTCGTTCCTGCGCCCGCTCCCGCTCCCGCTCCCGCTCCGGCCCGAGCCCCCCTTCCTGCGCCTATCCCTTGGCGTTTTCCCGCTTTCCGTGGCCCTCCCGGCCCTCCCGGTCCTCGTGGCTCTGGTGGCCCTCATGGCCCTGGCCCCTGGCGTGGTGACTCTTCCTCCGGAGGCCGCCGCAACCAGTAGGCCTCCCATGAGGAGAAGGAGACCAGGTATGCTTCGGCATCACCTGGGTCTCAAGATCAACAGCAAAGATCCCGTCCTTTGAGATCTTGTGGAAGATGATATTGCGGCCAATATGGCGACGACGTGACGAATTTTCACGAATTTCATGACTACCATCTACCGGCGTTGATCTGATACGGCGTTTCTTGCGGTTTCCACTCTCTTTCGATATTCTTATGGTGGTCTCCGTCTTTTCTTTTTGCTCCCATGTCATGAGTATTTTTCTTTTCCTTCTCCACTTTTCTTTTTTTTCCCCCTTTCTTATTATTTGTGGTTCGGACAGGCAGGCGGTTTGGGACCACCCCAACCCGGGGTAGGGTGAATAGCCAGCCATATCTAAACCACTAATAATTTCCATGTTTCTTTTCCTTCTGTTCTTTGCGGTTCGGACAGGCAGGCAGTTTGGGACCGCCCAGAGGGTGAATAGCTAGCCACATCTAAACCACCATTTATTTGCAATTTGCCTTTGCTTCTGTCCTGTGTAAATGTGTAGGTTGGTTACATGATGTATCTTTTATTTGATCGGCATGCAGATGCTGTACTCTATACTTCATGCAGTGGCCAGATGCGCATCAAACGCGGCTGCATCAGCCGCTCTTGTAGACTTGAATGTTTATCAGCTGGTTTCAAAGAGTTTTCCATATTGAGTCTTTTGTCTGACCACATTGCCCCATCAATTCTCTCAAATAGAGAGCTTGTTCTTTTCTCTCCTTTGAACCCTCCCTCTTCTGTCCTAAGTCGCCACACTGGGAGTCTAGACATTTCCTACTCAAAAAATCTGGACGATTGAGAGGGATTCGCTATTGGGCCATCCAATACGGATGGCCAACAGTATCGTGGGTGACCAGATGCCAACTTCTAGAACTGCGGGGGTGTCTTTGCTGGAATGCTCAAGTTTGTTCAAATGGTGCTCGTGAGAATGACCATTTTGGACTCAAACATTTTCTCTTGACTGCAGCACCAGATGATAAACTAACGAGCCTTTGCATAATCCAGATCAAGATCATTATTTCTGAGTTTCGAATCGCGGTCGTCCAATATTTAGTCATCCGGTGGCTCTGATTTCCCTGGTGGTGCGAGGCGCGCCTACAACTCTCATGGCTGTGCTGTTACGGAGGTTTTCGTGTGTCTTTTGAGCTATGCTTTGTCTATTTGTCGAGATGAGACGCGACGATGCATAGATACTAAGTGGGAGACACCGAAAGGTCCTGGACATGTCGGCGTTCATCCTCTACCAAGTTACATACTCAATGTCTGCGACAGACAGACCTTTCTGATCATGATCAACTGGACCTCAAAGACCATCGCGATGGGGTGGATTTGGAGCATCTTTGGAACGTGCAATCTTTTCAGGTCATCAACCCGGGGGATCGAGAAGTGTATAATACCTTTGGAATGCCCCTCGCTGCAGCTTGAAATGGAGACTATGACGGGATTGCGTCAGAGACGGTTCAATATCGGCGATCGTCGAAATTCGGCTGTCAGCAAAAAAAGCCGGACAGAAAAGCGAGAAGAAAAAGAAGGTTTGGGACCGCTAAAACAGGCGGAGCAAATTTACAGTACGAAAGGAGGGTAAATCCATACTAACAATCGAACAGGCACCCTCGCGGCTCGTATTTTACGCAGTAAGAAACACCGAAAGCCGGTTTTAATAGGCATGCGTGCGGCCCCTTTGCTCGTGGAGAACTTTGCCTTTTCGTTTTTCTTTAAGTCGGAAGTTCTGCACGGGCGCTAAGATTGCTAAGATTTGAATCTACGATCTTGCAGTCTCCCCACAGTTCATTCGCAAATTGGGGTGTGCCGAGGCGCTTATTCCTGGTCTTCGCAGATTGAGGGTGTCGTCAAAGAACAATTTGAAAATTTGGCGGGACAAACAAAGCTGCCACTACCTACTTGGACAACCATTCGACAACACAATCCCCGCCTGAGGACTGGCCAGCAACGAAGACAGCGCATCTCAACCGAGAATTCAATTGCATCTAGCCAATCCCATCAATTCAATCAATTAGATTCTACTGGAACCTAGCCATGCCACGAGGATCGTCGCGGGCCGCTCCGGCCTCGCCGCAAGCGCCTGAGGCGGCGCCAAAGCGACGCGCCTCAACTAGGTTGTCTACTTCGCAGCCCGAGATCAAGAGGGTCAAGTCCAACGCCTCCTTGCCGGGAAAACCGGTTAAGTCCACGGCAAAGAAGAGCAAGTACTTTGAACCCGAGAGCTCCGAGGAACCTAGTTCGCCGTCTAGCGAGTCCGGTGGAGACGAATCGGACTCCGCGTATGAAGAAGACAAGGCCTTCGATGTGTCGTCAGAGCACGACTCGGTGCCAGACGAGCCTAGCGAAAGCGAGGAAGACTCGAAGAAGTCTCATCCAAAGGGTAGGCGGGCACGCACGGCCACGACGGATAAGGAGCTTCTCAAGGGTAAAGAGCTCTGGCGCGAGGGCGTGCGAACGGGCTTGGGACCCGGAAAGGAGGTGTTTATCCCCAAGCCCAAGGCGCGAGATCCCGGCAACGTGCCATACCGGGATGAAAGGCTGCATCCCAACACCAAGCTGTTCCTGCAGGATTTGGCGAAGAACAACGATCGCGAATGGTTCAAAGGTAAGGCCAAGGCAAGCCATCACCACTGCATCGCCAAGCGCTTGCTCGCCAGAGCGCGATTGCCAGACAAGATCATGCTGACGGTTCCACCCACAGCGCACGACCCTGATTACCGCGCGGCAAAGAAGGACTTTGAGACCTTCGTTGAGACTTTGACCACGAAGATCGCGGAGAAGGATAGTACTATTCCTGAACTGCCGGTCAAAGATCTGGTGCGTCTAGCAAATCATACAGCGGCTTTTTCTTCCTCTCCTGCGCGTGTCTCTGACCAATGTATGTTGTCCAGGTATTTCGTATCCACCGCGATATTCGCTTTAGTAAGAATCCACTTCCGTACAAGGTATGTTCTCGCTTGCATGATCGGATCTCCTTCCGCCAGACTATCCCTGCCCGGGCAGGTGATACGGGTGACGTGGCGGGGGAGAGGCTTGTGTTACTGTGATGCTCATTAGCGGCGTGCGCGAGCCCCTGCTGACGGACGAATAGATTCATTTCTCGGCTGCGTGGTAAGTGCTATTGCCCGCAAGAGGAAAAGAGGGAATGAAATCACTCATCAACACAAAGGTCCCGTACTGGCAAGAAGGGCCCTTATGCAGCGTACTATGTCCATTTCCAACCTGGTGCTTGTTTTGTCGGTGAGTCTCTTATTATCTCGCATGTCTCTCGCTTCGTCCCAGGGCTTTTTGCTCCTTTCCCTGTGCTTCACCCAGAACGTTGTCTTTTCTTCCGTCCCTACCATTGCCCCTCTTCTGGTTTTCGTAGTGTTCACCCTGACTCGTGCGACTTCGTGATGTATAGGCTGCGGCCTCTGGCACCCAGAGGCTGATCAATTGGCGACACTTCGAGAGGACATCGACGAGAATGCAGATCAATGGAAGGCGGTTCTCCGGGCGCCGGCCTTGCGCCGCGATTTTCTGAACGGAGCGTCCGATGACGACGAAGCGGTCGTGAAAGCTTTGGCTCATGCCAATAAGGAATCGGCCCTGAAAACCAAGCCAAAGGTACGTTAATAGTCAATCTGTTTCTTGTTTTAGTTGTCTCCTTCTCCTGGCTATGGGAATGTGGTCATCGTCATCATGAATATGCTTGGTTTTATCATCAGCATCTTCATTCGTTTTGGAATTTGATGATCTCGGGTTCTACTCTATAGAAGAGGCCGAGAGACGAGGCTTGGGAAGGTGGTTGGGTGGTCGCCGTGCGATCGAGGGCATCGTCCACCCCCGACCGACACCACACATCCTAATGGTTTCTGCATCCATCTTGGACTGGGAATAGCAACTTCCGCAAAGCAATAATGCTTTAATTGCTTTGACCAGGGGATGGAGGAACTGCTCGAGGCCCGTTGGAGAGGCGTCTGGCCAGTTTGTGCTTGCCGCGTCCCAGGTTAGGTCGCCGCCCATGCAGTATCATATGGGACTGGACGAATCACAACCTGCCCGGTCAGCCCAGCAACCAGCAACCAGCAACCACGACGGATGATCTTAGCAATTGAAATCCATTGCTCATCATTCTCGTCCGTCTGGCTGGTTCACACAGTGGCGGAAAACACGAGACTAGCGCACGCGTGTCCGCGGGATAGGCATCCCGTGTTTGGGCAGCCTGGCGATGGGCTCTGAGACTGGAACCGAAGGTCACCTATTTCTCCGAGAGCCAGGCGTAGCAGGGAACGCGGTCTCGGTCTTTGAGCTCTGGGGGGATGATGGGCAGAATTAGGACCCAGGGGGTAGCCACTGGCCATCAGCTACTAGCTAAGACACCCAGCGTCCAGTCCGCCCTTGTTGGCTCAAAGTCGTGTTGGACGGTGCTTTTTCGCGCCGTCTCGTCTGGTTCCATGGTTCACTGCGGCGCCAGGCTCCACGGGCCTCAACCACTTTAACAACTTTGGGAAGAGATGCGCCCCCCTCTTTCTCCAAAACAATGAGGCCCGGAATTATTCTTGCCTTGCAAAAAAAAAAAAAAAAAAGGAGAGAAAGGACGGCGAATTGCGGGAAAATTACAACAAAATAAAAGCTGTTATGGAATATACACGAGACTAACACAAAGCATGATATGACCTTCTAGGGCTACGATGCCGACAACGACAACATCCAATTGCTCCGACTACGCAGCTTCACTCTCGGACGGCCCGTCTCGGACGCAGAAATGCTGGCTGCGGATGCGCAGGACCGGATCGTCGCGCTGGTTGAAGTCATGGAGCCCTTCGTAAGTGTACACCGGCCCAAACCCAACTCAATTCCCATCACGCCGAAACCCCCCTCTTCTCTGTTTCCCCTCTCTTGAACTTTGTCCTTTTGTACGACCATCTCTATGGAGGTACTACTACCTAGGCACACAAGGCCAGAGTGATCGATCTGCTCTGCCCTGTCGGCCTGGCCTATGCCTTGCCCTGGCGCCTAGCCCACTCCCCCGGCCGATTTTGCCCCCCATTTGACTAGCCCATTTCCTTTCTGAGCTAGCCACTTGGTCCCGGCTGGCCGTCCCTGTTGGCCTAACACCGAATCAGCGTCGCAAGATGGGCGACGGACAATACAGCCGTCACACTTTGAGTGCGCCAGAGGGGGAGGAGTCACTGCAGCTCTTTCGTGTCTTGTGTTCCCTTGCTGACCGCTTCTCGCTCGACATAGGTGACGTATCTCAACAGTGTGGTGATGCCTGATCAGTAGCGTGGTTTTGATCCGTTTTCCTTTGGTGGTTGAAGATCAATTGTTGGGAGAATCTCGCCATTTAGCACAGCAAGATCGAGGAGTGGGGTCTTTGAAGCGGGTGATGTATGCTATCTGATTTTCTTTGCACATTCCAGTGTTTGATATTGATTTGCACATTCTCTCAAATTTCATCTCTTTAATCTTGGTGTACATCTCCATTTCTCACTACTAAACCTCCGCATCGCGGTAAAGACTCGGAGAGGCGTGCCGCCCACTAGCCATTGCAAACAGCCCGCAGCACTCCCAGCCCCAAGCCTGCACTCGGCCGCTCTAGGGATCTTGTCTGACAACCCTGACAATGAGACAATGAAGTGTCACTGCGCTGCATGTCCATTGCATCCCTAGCTGCATGGTCAGCGAGGTTGAATCGACCAAATCAAAGCCCGTCATTCGAGTAAATCCCCCGATCAATTCATAAATAGTTGTTCGATCCTTGCCCGCACTAATTCGCTCTGAATCTTTGACCATGTCCCCTCCACATCATCCGCATCCGCGGTCATACCCTCTCGGTTCGGCCCTACCGTGATACCGCAGGGTAATGGCGCAGAGCTAGGAACTTTGTCTAGCATTAATCGCACTTCACCGCTAAACGTTCTATAAGAAGCAAGCACATTCTCAGCCGAAGAAAGCAATGAAGATTTGAAGTAGCGTATTGACTAAATAGTAGGTAGTGGTGTAACTACTGTGCCATGTTTTCTGTCCATCCGGGAGCCCAGCACAACGAGAAACCCATACACCCAACAGAGACCCATCTCGGGACCACAATTCTGCAGCCCACCCAGAAAGAATAAGAACAGCAAGGGAATGTGGATAGAAAGAAAGTAAAAATTTCTCACGGCATCCATCGAGCACAGCCATCATGCATGCATACTGTACTTCATAGAGTTTAATCTGTAGATGCAACCATAAGCCCGTATAACTATTACGTTCTCTATACGCGCTATCATCGATAACCCACACAGTCAACATGCTATCCACATTGTCAACAAATTATGCTCTATCGGAGACCAAAGCCTTATGAAAAAGGAGTACTGTACCCAGTCCTCCGTCCATAAGTATGAATCGCCACCGCAAGCGCCCGCAGCGGCTGCGTTCGGCCCGTTGTCGGGCTCGCCCGCTAGGCAAAACCTTGGGCGACTCCATCGGACGCAAGTGGATTGGATTGGGTCGGGGCGGGACTCCGCCGCCCTTCCACAAGCAGTTCTACAACGTGTAGACTCCTCTTTTCCATTGGGTTCTGTGGCTCAGTGAAGTCCTTTGGTTTACAGTTCCGGTGGGATCCCGCGGAAGGAGGATGAGCAGTACAGTACTCCGTAGTATATACTATACTCGTCCCTACTTTATGCTTCATTCTCCGTCTTCCGTTATGGTACGCTAGAAGGCTCTTCCAAACAAATCCAACCCGAGCACCTTCCTGCTCTGGAAAAAAGCGGTCCGAAGGATCCAGCGTTCCAAACGGAGGCAGCGTTTGGTTCAGTGCCTCTCTGTGATCCGGACGGGTCGAGGAGGAGCGGGAACTTGAACCCCATTGTTTGGATAAAGGCGCATGGCAGGGCGGAAACTAGGAGATTAACAGACTAGTACGAGATAGACCTTGCCCTAGGGTCCTGGTGTCATGTCATTTCCATTGTTTGTGTGGTTGTTTATGGAAGTCGCCCGAGACAATTGCGGGTTGAGCACGTGGCTGGGGGATTTGTGTGTACTTGTATTCCCCGAAGTTGGTGGGTCAATGGGTCGATGAGAGAGGAAAGTTGGGACGGTGGCTGTTATTGTGGTGATTATGAGGAGGCGTTGTGTTTGGAATTTGGATTACATCCCGAGAGAACAGTCTTGATGACTGTACTCCGTAGTCGGGCTTGTTGCGGCATGCAGACGGGAGCAATTGTTTTTCTGGTGGCTAAAAGGTAAGCTGAGGACCAGAAAACTGTCGGAGAATCGGTGTAATCATCTTACTAGTAGTAATATTAATCTTTGGTTAATTACCCAGGGTCACAAATATTGGCTTCCCGCAAAACGTGGTGAAAATGTGGACCAAGGCTCTGCAGAGTGTAAATGGCAAATGGTGATTTGATTTAATCGCGACCCCGTCTTGATTGACAGGTTGTTGTGGAAAGTGCTAGTCGTCGAATCGCTCTGGTAGGCCATCCCTCATGAAAATCGCGAATTTGAGTTAGTGGGAAAAGAGCACTGTGAGCAGCGGACATTCTTGATGCATTGCGTGACGGGGATACCATAGAATCCTTGTGTAGTTTGGTAGCTAGTCATCTGGGAACAGCAGAAAGACCATATTAGCCATAGCCAGCAGTCGGGAAGGCCCTCTGACCAAGGCCTGCTTAGTACAGATGCTGGGACTTCTGCTAGGCTCGTCCCTTAAGTCGTTATGAGCGCTTCTTGTATACCGGTTGTGGACTTGACCGACGTGAGCTTGAACGTGAGCCGAACGAACCTCTAGCAAGGCATGTCAACACTTGCTGGGGCAAGAACGCCTAGTATACAAGCCAACAAACAAGTCGATAGATCAATTCATAGTTGAACATGGATACTACAGATCTTTGTGCCTCTGAAAATTACCGTCTGAGAGCAAGCCATATCGCACTGGCGGATATAGTAGCGTAGCCATCTCAAAGGTGATGGGTGAACCAGATTGTGATTATGATGTTAGATTCTATTGTCTAGTAATGCAGCGAGGAGTTGGTTGTACAAGAGAATGATCCTTGAATGTGCCTCGCCTAGTGTCGATGCATCGAATCTGCACACAATGCAGGCAGTCAGATGACATTGCCGGGTAACCGAGACGACATGACGTTTGATGCATTGGGCCCAAGTCTTGGGCATCCTGTTGTTGGGCTTTCTATCTACGTACAAATGTCCGGTGTCTCTGCCTATTTAGTCTTGGGGTGGCCATTGGGAGGACCACGTGCTGGGATGGCGTCGACGGCGATAGGAACAACTTCAACGACGACAACGCACTCTCCTCGATGATCACACACCTCCTGACTCGAACCTCCTGCGTGTCAACTGCATCATGCACCTCCGTCACATTCCTTCCATCACCTCTCATCGAATCCCCCGACGCACACTGTAAAACGAGGCATCGCAGGGAGCATGGATGCCCAGGCAGAGCACGAATCGAACCCCGTCAGATCGCTCATGCGCCGGCAACCAGCAGCAAGAAAAAGAAAATGCTATGTGATCGTCCCGCCCTGTACGACACAATCCAGGCTTTCACTCCGAACAAAGTTGGAATCGCAACGGTGTGTCACCGCCAGTTCATTCCCTGCAAGAAGACTGGAGGGCCTTGGGGACAAGGCTATCATCACACGACCATGCCTAGCAGGCTAGCACTGCCTCGCACACACTCGCAGCAAGGACCAAGCTACCGCCCATTCGCACATCGAATGCTCACCTCACCAGACACTGCACGCCTCTCGTTTCGGCCACGTCAGATCCTCGAGGACAAAGACGGCCGGTCTGCATTCTCATAGGCCTGATTCTGTTCCCGTGACCGTTCAGCCATGCGGGTAGCGCATGGCAGCGTCTATTAGTGCCCGACGGGCTCCATCTCCTGTTGATAGACGCGCTCCCGTGTGGATAATGGAAAAAGAGGGGCGACCGGAGGGGCCGAAACGAAGAACGGGGAGATTTTTCTTCCCAACCCTCATTATTAGCCAGAAAACACCGAAAAAAAAATCATGACATCCGACAAGGTGGAGAGAAAAAGGAAGGGGGGGCGCAAGGAAGAATCATCGTCGCAGCCTGCGACCTGCGACTTTTGCGACCGGTCGGGCGGCGGTTGGGTCCCCAAGTCTGCGCTCAGTCCCTCTGGGACCAAATCGACTAGCGCGTCCCCAGGACAGACCGCATCGAGTGGCCAGCGGCTCTGGTTCGGGTGTGGAGTATAATCCCTTAGACTCGTACGGAGCTTGGTACGCTAACGACAAAGTCGAACAGGCCACGCCAGAAACGAGTGGAGTGCGGTAACGCGGAAAGACGCGGACGGCAATGCACGAGCCGATTGGGTCCTGTCCGCCTGAACAAAAGGCCCCTCCCAGGCAAAAAACGTGGCAAGAGGGCGCCAGATCAAGGCAGACCCCAGCAGACCCCAGCAGGCCTGTTACTGGACTATGGACACTAGTACAGTAGTACAGAGGCAGTCTGTGGTGTACCTGGTGGTATAGCAAGGTTGCTATGACTATGGCTATTACCACGTCCATGACCATCACTATTTCTACGTTTGCGACAACTACAACAGCCCAGAAAGTGGCCAGTCATGCTCCTCCCGAAATGGGTAGTGGTTCATGGAAAAGGCGGGAATGGGGGACGCCAATCACCAGATTTGGTCCTGCACGCTTGACAAGGCGCCCGAGGTCTTTTCCAGATGGCACACACATGCATAAGATCGGCGGGAAGGCCGGAGCGGCCCGTGGGACAAGTACCCCGACCACACAGGCCGCAAAAGTTCGCCTCGCTTTGCACTACCATGCTAGCTTGCGAGGCTGCTAGGCTCTAGCTGACCAGGATGTTTCACCCGGCAAAGCAGAAGGAGCACACGGACGGGATGAAATTGATTCATAA